AAATACCTGCTACCACCTAATGACTCAACCTCAATAGGACCACATACGTTAAAATAAATCAATTCCAATATATTTTTTTCTTTGAGAACTCTTACAAAAAAAAACCTTATGATGTTTACCAAACAAACAATAATCACATGAATCAAAAGATATACCTTTAGTCAAAGGAATGAGAGACTGTTTTGTCAAAACCTGTAATCTTTTCTCACTCATGTGTACCAGCCTCTTATGCCACAAGTTTGCTGAAGCATCATCCTTGATGGCATTTACTTGGTTGCCATTCAATTGCATCAATGTCTTATACATTGTGTAGCATAGTTTTTCTCCTTGTAACTACCATAGATCTTTTGAAAAGCTTCCATTGTCTATTCTTTTGTCGACTCTCATATCCCTCCTTATTAATGATATTAATAACAAGCAAGTTCATTCTCATATCTGAAATGTGTCTGACATCCCTCAAAGTCAACATGTAGCTTGTTCTAATTTGTACAATAATATCACAAATCCTAATAATCTACGATACATTCTTATTTTTCATCTTGGTGTAACCAAAATCTCTTACTTTGTAAGTTATAAATAACTCTCTCTTAGAAACACAATGAGATGTTGCTCCTGTGTTAACTATCCGTTCAATGCTGAGATTACCAACATGATTACAATTATCATGTGTATAAATCAAAGTAACTGAATCACTATATGAATTTACTATTACAATATTACCATTATCTAAGCTCATACCTTTCTCATCTTTTTACTCTTGCTTCAAGATTTTACAAAGTCATTTTATATGACCTACCTTATCACAATGAAAACACTTCACTTTATCTCTGGACTTGGATCTATGTTTAAACTTACTATGACTTTTTGAATTATGATCTCTGTCGATATTTTTACCCATGTTCTCTGTGACTAGAGCTTGATTCTCAGGGTCTACATCTTTTTACCTTACTTTTTCATTAAGCATACTATTCTTTACCATCTCTAATGTCACCTTGTAATCAGAAACTGGATTAAGAACAGTCACAACTAGAGTATTTCAACTGTCTGACAATGAGCTAAAAAAAAAATAACGTATTCATTTCATCATTTATCTTAAGATCTATAGTAGTCATCTGATTAAATATATCTTGAAAATCATTCAAGTGTTCTGTAATCGATCGTCTATCCCTGTATTGTAAAGTTGTAAGTTTTTTAACAAGCATAACTTTATTCATACATGTTTTTCTCTCATACAATGCTGTCAATTTTTTTCAAACAATGTAGGCATATGCCTTATGCACTACATGATGGACATGCTGATATCAACTTATTTTTTGTTATAGCCAGTGTCTTTTTGTCTAACTTCTTTCAGTTTTTAGCTTCCATATCTGCTGGTTTATCAAATCACCTAATATTTGCTCATACAAATCTTTAGGTATAAATGATCTCTATCATAGGCTTCCAAATTGAATAATTTAATGCTGTCAATTTTATCATGGAACCTGTATCATCCTCTATGATCTCAAACAAAATTTACTTCTATCTTGGGCTGTTTCTATATCGTTGTTTCAAAATAACCCTTACTCTGATACCACTTGTTAGGCCTGAAGTAATAAATATAATAATACAAAAGTAATATATCACAATAAACCTATAGCAATACATAATAATCAATAATCAATAATAACAAACGCAAAAAAAATAAAGCACACCAAGATTTACGTGAAAAATCCTCCAGTGTAGAGGGAAAAAAACTACGGACCACCAGAAAAATATTCACTATCAAATAATGGATATACAAAGTTCTTCTCTAATTAAAACTAGCGCTAATCAACAACTATAGAGACAATTGAAGAAATCTCACCAAATAGATGATTCAACAAATACACTTTGGATTTGTTCCTAAAGAGCTTCAAACCCAATCTTCATGATTCAGAATGTAGAATTCTGAATCATAAACCTGCTGATAAAGTTTTAGCTCAATCGGATCACAAATCAACTTTCGTTTAACCAACTCTCAATTTTACTTTTTCTCTCTATTTTTCCTCGCTTTTATTCTTTCTCTTTTTTGTTTTACGACACCACCTTAAAGTAACATCATATCTTTTTATTAAGTAGCTAGGGTTCTGTATAAAAAAAAAAACTAAAACTAATGGCCTTTAATTGATTCAAAATCAATTATACGGGGCTGTACCCCATTTTCCTGACACTATTTTCGTTGCATGCATGGAAATAATGTAACACTTTCCTCAATATAATTAACGATAGTAAGTGATTAGTTTTGGATTATAGATAGTAGTAGTGAGCGTCGTTTCGCATAGCAGTGACTTGAAAGGCAAGCTAGAGTAGTGACCCACAGCCACAAGCAAGTGAAGGGTCTTGATCAACACCTACAATAACGAGTAAGAAGGGACTTTTTTGTGTTCGATGGGTTGAAGATAAATAGACAGATAGATACATTACATAAAAAATCTGGGTACCTATTAAAGTACTAATTAATCCATCAATCTTCCAACCAAAAAACTCTTGCAATCACCGTCGCCTGGTCACTTTAAGCTTGCCCTATTGCCTCCTTAATTTGTTTTATCAACTATGTTAAGTTTTTTTTTTTTTACCATGGCTATATGGTGGTTGCAGCTGTTTGCTTTGAAGTCACGCAAGAGGGCAATAATATATTCAAGATTTCACTTGGTTGAAAGGTATTTATCTCCTTGCACATAGCAAGATATAGAAACAGTCTAAACCCTTAAGGAAAAATTAATGAAGCACTGATGATGGCCAATTTGGTAGATAGATAAACTAATCAAGGCCTTAAGGCAAAGGACAAAGACTAAGCTGAGAGATCCAAAGTGCTGTAATGAAAAGGAAAAAAAGGGGGTAAGAGCCAAGAGGGTTCCACAAGAGAATGATGAAAAATTGAACCTACTCGAGAATAAAACTTTGGGTGAGCAAAAAAGGTGAAAAAGGCCCACTAATTCTTCTTTTTTTTTTTTTTTTTTCCTGCAAAAAACGCAGTGGCTTTGACAATCTTGTTTGGATTGGATGATAGGTCCTTTATTTTCCATATCCAACATTATAACAATATTTCTCATATCCCTAAGTGGAGAACAAAATTATGAGGGTTTGAAGGTTTGTGAAACTTGGCATGTGAGACCTCTCTAAGTCAAGACTTTACTTAATTAGACTTAATTGAAACGTTTTTCCTCACTCTCCATTAAGAGAGACTGTTACACCTGCTTCTCATATGCTATTTCGGATTTGGTCAAGTATTAGTGGTAGTGTTATGGATTATGCTAACTAGTAAAATATTATCTGCTTTAATTTCATTGGATTTTATAGTTTTATTTTTAAAAAATGTCTCATAAATTAAAAGTAATGTAAATATTTATATTTTATAATCAACTCTAATATATAATTGATAAGAAATTTAGGACTCCTCTTTTTAAAACTATGACAAGTAGCCTCCAAAACTATTGGAATTAATGTTAATAACGGTGCAATTCTCACTTGCTTTGCAGGCGTTTAGGGAAAGGCATTCGGCTATCTACAGTCTGTATCAGATAGATTGACCAAATTCAACGTCTCTGATTTCTTAGTGCAATGAAAATGAATTAATTGTTCCACTTGGGAAGGAATCTTATGGTTTCAATTGCATTAGCAAATGGTGCTGCCAGTGCCTCCATATATACACCATAAATTCTGCCGATCATCAGTAGGTCAATTGACTGAACCCTCAAATTTCTCAGGAGGGTCAATATTTTTTCTAATGCACTTTATTTTCTTTTTATTCATCATCGTTTGACAATTTATGAAAGAAATGAACAAGCCCTGGAAAATTCCTTCATTGTGTCCTTGATATCTTTATATAGATTGAAGAAAACAAAATTTTACACTGGCAAAAGGGCCAAAATTTTGTTGTGTACCGTGAAAACACACAAAATTAACCGAACTTTTAATTAGAAAGCTAATTAAAGAAGATAATTGAAAGCCATGTGATCCCAAAAATATTTCAATAATCACGCGTTTGAAAGCTTTTTTAATAGTGGGTGGGATATCTTTGAGCCCAAAGAGATTTAGCAAAGAGGATATTAAAAGGGGAAGAGGTCCCATATATTATCATTGCATGTCATGTTCTCTCATTTAATTGGTTTCTGTTTTAAAAAAAAACAATGATGCTTAATATGAAGATAAGTGTGAGATAAAGAGGGCACTGCCACTTATTTTGAAAGGAATAATAATAATAATAAATTGTTTAAGGTTAACTAAAGGGATATTGAATTTTTGGGAAACTTGACTCCAATTACTACATATTTTTGTAAGAAAAAAAAAATTAAAACGCCCTCTTCAAAGGTTTAATTTTCAAATTCTTCTCCCTTATCTATCCCAAAAACCGATCTCCCTCTTCAAAGATATGATCTACCTGAGATGTGTATATAGAAATATTATATAAACATATGTTCTATACTAATATATTTGAGTTTTGTTTCTATATACCCTGCCAATTTTAGCACCTATGATCAAGACAAAGGCCATCTACTATGTGTCACATCCAAGATATCACATGGGTATGGCATAATGTTGCATTTTTTTTTCCTTTATCCACCCAGATTCACTCCTGAATTTTAATTTTGGTTAATGTCTTACTAAATGTTTTTGCTAATGAAGTGAAGGAGATGTAGACATCAATCTCCTTGATTTATAACAAAGAAAATTCATCTAAATTTTGACAAAATCGAATTTCGTGTCAAGTAACTTGCACTCACTCACTTACTCAGAAGCTCTTTTAGGTCTATATTAATATCCTCTTTGTTTTCAAAATAATGAATTTATTTTGTTTTAAAAATTGGACTTTAGCACTTTGTTTTGTGGTTGAGGCAGTGCTGAAGCAAAGGGACTTTTAGCATGAAATCCACTAGGAATCCAACCTCCTAAGCAAAACTCAAAGCCTTCATCATTTTGTTTTAGAAAATGGAATTATTAGAAAGGAAAGGCCAGCTACTTGGGTTGAATTTGTTAGTTGGATACTTGTCTATACTCTAAAATCCAGTCTACTTCTTAATCATCAGTTTGCATTTGCTCTCACTTTTTCTTACATTCTTTTGTTTGTTTTGGCTCAAGCTTTCAAAGCTTATAATTGCAATTTACAAGGTGCTCCTATAGTTGGTCTCTAAAGAGTGAGATTGGAGGACAGCCGATGAAATGCACCCGTGGGTGTCCTATGAATCACCACTTTCTTCTTTGTGGCCCTATTCCTTACCAGTCACTCAACAGCTTCTTGATTTGTTTTTCATTTGTCTTAATTTCCTAGAGTTTGAATATCATGACAAGTAAAGAGAATTCGTCTTTTAAAAACAAAAAAATTATGTAAAATATGACACATGCATTGTAGAAGCATTTGAATCAAGACATCAGAACAAACTAGTGAATTATCATATCAAAGTTACTTTTGCTTAGGGCACTGGGGCATTGGCTTTGTTCAAACGTTTATCACCTTTTCCCATTAGTATCATAATCATATATTTTAGCTGTATATTTTGTATCATTTGATGTATAAGGGTAGAAAAATGGTTATTGATGTGTAAGCCATAACAATTAATAGACTTATTAACAGAAATGAATCTTATTTTTTATAAAAGCTTCGGTGATTCCCTAGAAGAGGGTAGAGAAAACTGCAGTAAAAGAGGGTGACCACCCTGGAATCTGCAGAAATTTCTAACCAATCATTTTTTTCTTTTCTTCACATGTGTTTTACAGTCTTCGTCCTTGCTGCTTTATCGATGTCCATCGCTGTTCGGGACATGCAATGATATGAACAGGAAATGTCAGGAAAAATAATGGGCTTAAAAGTTTTGGCCATTTCAGGAGTAAGAGACCAATCGACCAAAACGACAACGTGTCAAAAGCCAAGTCTACAATATCCGGGCCCCAAAGAAACTGTTACTGCTACAGATATATATATCATCAACTTTCCCAAAAGGACACAGCTATCCTTAAAGGACATTCAGAACTACAAAATTCTCTTGAAGATCTCATCTATCAGTATATGGTACGATTTCTCTTCAAACAAATCTATTCCATAATGCTACAGAGGATTTCCCTTGCATTCTTCAATTGAATGAATTTAAAACCTCTACCTTATCCCCATCACGACTCATTTAGTAAATGATAAATTAGGGGAATATGATAAGTAAGCTTAAGAGAAACAATCCCACCTTTCAATTTCATAAGGCATTTAAGGCAGTGCTCAATTTCAGTCCAAGTGGTCGCGGAAACGGATAACTTTGTTGATAAAAGGCCTCTCGCGCCGATAACTATTCATGAAGATAGGAATCAAGCATTAATGAATATATTTTCCAACTCAGAATATTATAAATGACAAGAATGTAGGCGTGGATATTGTATAAATCAGTATTATGTCAGTAACAGTTTTAATTAAGTTCAGAAAACTTTGAGCTTAGGAAGATACTTACATGACAAAGGCTGAGATGCAGAACAAAGTGAACCCGATGGAAAAATGAATAAAAAAGGATGGCCAAAACTTTTCACGGTCCAGAAATAATTTTTCAGAAACAAGAGTAGCTACACCGGATAACAACAGAATTGTCCAACCTGAAGGCAAACAGCTGTAAAAGGAAAATGAAGGAGACTCCTGTGGGAAAAGAAGTAAAAGAGATCCAGTAAAAGGTTGAAATTAGTACCAAAAGAAGATAAATGGCTAAAAAAATAATTAAAAAAAAAAAAAAACCTTGAATTTTATCAGTTCGTTTAGAGAAGCCCCTATAATTTTATTACACTCAAATAAGCCCTTAACCTTTAATTGTACCTAAATCAACTTTTTGTTTGAAATAAGGGCTTATTTAAATACAAATAAAAAAATAAGGGTTTATTTTGGTTACATAAAAGTGTAAGGGTTTATTTTAAGAAAAGTGGAATAGTTGAGGGGCCTTTTAGTATTTTAGCCAAAGATAAATTTACACAAAGCAAAGCCATACCTGGAAAAAATGTTTGATGAAAATTGCAGAGTAAATAATCCTCAAAATCATATCTGTTTAATTGTCAAGTAAACAAAAGGTAATGCTTTTAATCCAACACAATTCTTTAGTAGATATGGACATATTTAAAAATCGAGGAGGTTAGCAAGGATGTCTAATAAAAGGCCAGCCAGCAACACATCTAACACAAAAGGCAGGAAATTGAGCATGGAAAAGCTTATATCGGTGATAGCTGAAAAGATAACTACTCAAGATAACCATTTTTTCCCTTGACAGTTATGTCACTGAACTACAACTTTCAAGTAATAATCTCACCCATATGTGTGCCACATGGATATGGAGCTTTCCAAATCTTGAAATGCCACCATGCAGACATTTTTTTGGCAATCTAGAACGGATAGCATGATTGATGGAAGAGCTATAGGCATACTGAACTCTATATCTTACAGGAAAAGTTAATAAAAATGTGCAAATTCAGCATAAATGCAATCATTCATCTTTTGTGTTGAGCTCAACAGTGGTACTTCCCCAAATTTTGAAATGCTCCTGTGACACCTAATTAATTAATTCACTGAAAGCAAAAGCTCATGACAAGAAATAAATAGCCTCAATATGATAAGGATACTCAAAGAATTTGCAAAAATCAAACCAACAGCACCAGCAGACCGTATCAACAGGACATTCAATGCTACATATATCAATGAAAATACAAGCAATGAATCATTTGAGCGTTTGAGTTGGTTCTCAGTTGCAACTGCATGAAGAAATGCTTCAGAAGTCCCTGATGCAAAATTAAATATAAGAGTAATATCCCACATTAACAACTCAAGCAGCAGCAAGATATATATATATATATATATATATCCATAATGTAACTGCCAAGCATATAATCTCCATCCAGTAAATCCAGATATGTTGTATAATACAATGTTGATAACAAGAGCAATCCAGATTTCTACCACTTCACCATGATATCACAGCCCCTTTTGCAAATATACCAGGTTTTGAGAAAACGGAAAAAACAAAAGAGAGAGAGAATAGTCCAAGTTCAATATGACATTTGAAGATAATGTTTAGGCAGCCAAATCCATAATTAACAAGCATAATAACCCAAATTTACTAACCATTCAAAGCCAAAACAATGATATAGAGACAATAATAACGAAGGGCAGTTGAAGCTTCTCCATCACTCCATTTCTGACCATACAAGAGTCTGATGAGAGAATAGGAGTAACTTGGACCAAATGCCAAAAATATGAGACCTACAAAATAATTAGTAACTTGAGGAAAACATATAAAAGAGCATTTAAAAGAAAGATCTTCAAGCATGTGATGGTTGCTGAGGGTATCTGACTTAAAGGAATGAAGCAGGTTGTGTTTCGACATGAAGTCATATTACTATAAGATAAACAAAATAAAAAATGGCATTGAATAAATTTGTTCACTGTGGTTACTATTTACCAATGTATCTCCTGAAAAGCTAAGCGAGCTTTGACAATCAGCTAACAGAAATAATAATTTCCATTTGCAATGCTATGTTTAAGTCCCAAAATTAATTCCAGAACCAAGAATTTCATTATAATACAAATTGTTGACAATGCCAATAAAATCCATCCAAGGCATATCGAAAATTACAAAAAAAAAAAAAAGAAAACAAAATGAATTATAAAAGATCAACTAAGAACATACCAATCAGTAAAACAAACTTCAGGGCCTCGGTAAGACATCTTCCTAAGTTCTTGCTTTTATGTGGAGACTGTCCTGTCAAGAGATATTTATCAATATGATACAACTTACGAAGCATCATCTTAATTAAAAAGAATGAATGTTATAAAATCTAGCATTTAGAAGTCTTCATGGATTCTATTAAAAAAAAAAAAGGGAAGTCTTCATGGAAGCACGAAGTAGCTTGTTTTTAAAAAAAAGGGTGCAGAGTTGAAATGTGTATAAAACTTTTTCAACATAAAAATTAAACCAATCTAAGATCATCAATTAGTTTAGGCCTTAAAGTGCAAGATGTAGAAATCCATGAAACATGGACAGGAAGGTAGATTAATAGGCCAGGGAAAATTCACACCATAAAATGCTAGATTCATGCCAACACCCATGAAACAACTTCCATCAAATAGTTGGAGCAGCAACATAAAAAGTGATTCAAATTTCTAACATGGTATTCATGCACATTATAGAGACCACCAAACCACAGCAAAGAAGCTAAGTCGTCAACATGCTACATCTGTCATATAAGGTGCCAGCAGAAATTAAATTAATCCAAGCTCCCAAAGACATGCAATCATAGTCATTGTACAAATGATAAACAAATAGAATTTCTCATATTTTACAGACACTATAAGTGATTCTTTCTTTTACTCCTCCTAACATCCACCAGTTCTCTCTTTCTCTCTCTCTTTCCCACCAAAGGAAGCGCTTATTTAATTGAAGTACATCCTATAGCAATCTGACTTCATTCCCTCCACACGAGTGCAATTGCTTGATGTAAAAAAAAATATGAGCATAATTTTGAGAGTTGGGACAGCATCAACAAAACAACTAGTCAAAAATTAAAGTTAGACAAATATTTGATCTTAAAAAACAAGTTGGAAAAGCTAATTCACTTACTGATGATGAAATAGTAGTTATCCAACAGAATGAAGTATATATTGAAAAGGCAATAATAGACTCTAAAAACAAAAATAATGTGAGACATACACCTCACAGAATGAACTAAGGAAAAAGGAGAGTAATAGACCTGTTTCAGACCTCGCAAAAGTAGCATATGAACTTTCTTCAAAAGGAAGAAGCACCAGCCTGACCACCAAGCTCCCTAAATTCAACAAAAGGGATGGTTTAGATTTGCTCTTTAAAGGAAAAACATTTGGAACTAATAACATTTTCTCAATTGTACTAGCTAAAGATAAGATCGATTGCTTGATATCAACTAAACAGTCTAATGTCGCAAACCTACTGCTAAAACTTTGAAAAGCATACAGAAATTGGACTGACTACTTACCTAGTTTGTCTACGAGTCCATACACAGCTTGGTTATATGGTGTATCCAACCACACAAGTACCATCTTTTCTCCTTCTTGAAGAATCAACTTTCGAAAGGATTGAAGGGTAAACAACATACACATGTTTGAGAGCTGCTTATCAAAATTCATCATATGTCCTAGTCTGCAAAAATTGGACTTTATTTATGGACAATCTGGACAAAAGTATTTAAAAGATAGAGCAAGTAGCTACTAAATAATTAAGAAAATAAATGTGCACTTTAGACATAAACTGAAAGCAAATTAAAAGAAGCATATCTAGGAGAATCCAATTATTAATTATCTGTAAAGAATCACAGAGACAGGGTTAAAGCTCAACATATGCCATATGAAGAAAACTAAAAGTCAAACATGTCAATGTAGAAAATCGACAAAAGTGGATGTGTATACTTATCTACCAATAATTGAAGTCTTCTTTTATCCACAAACTAAGGGTAAGGAGGACTAAAAAGTCAAGCATGCATATTGCCAGAGAGAGAATGAGGTCAAGCATAGAAGCATCCGTACCTGAAAGGGAAAAGATCGGTGAATCTAAATGCACGAAAAAGAAGAAAATAACTCCAATAGCCCAGAAACAAGCAGGCTCCATATGCTGCTTGAGACAATGCAAAGACAATTCCCTTCTCCTGTAAGAATCAGGTTCAAATTTGTTCATGAAAATCTTAGGGAACAAGATCTCACGGCAAAGCCACATAAATCAAAAGAAAACTGACAAAGTTCTATTGGAACCATAAATAAGTTTTAGACATCTATAAGACAGGCAGAGAAAGATAAAAGTTCTTCTAGATCAACGGCCCAAGGTTCATGCTCAAAGGCCAAATGATCCACCACAAACCTCATAAACACTACACCTCACGCATCACAAGCAGAACCAGCTATACTAGCTGCTAACCATCATTCCCTAAAACACTAACGCTTGGTAAAAATTAGAACATGAGAACACAATAATATATTTCCTCTAAGAAAATTAACTCAACGATCATTGATAAATGTATATGCAACCAGTAAAACAGACACAAAACACACATTGCCAATAGGCAGATTCACAACATGTATATATTCAAACTCAAAACATAATCCATTTAAAAGCTTTACCATGTTAGTGAGGTTCACAATTAGAATGTAAATTGTTAAGCAGCGTGAGAACGTAGCTGCAGTTTCAACCATTAAGCGCAGTTTGAGTAGAAACAATGTCTGAGAAAGGATATACAGAGGTTCCGCCCAGAGCTCTAATATACAAGCACAACCTGCCAGGAAAAAAAATAATCTAGTCAATCGGATTATTCGGAAAGGAATATCTCCAACAGTGAAGTACTTGTAACATGATCACAATTAAGTTGGTCTCAGTCACAGACTCCAGATAAAATTCCTTGGTTAATTTTAAGCATATAATACCCTGACTTTCAGATGGTTTGGTCAATAATATCCAGAAGGCTGATTATATAGAACGGAAATCTTTTAAATTTTTCGAACAAAATCCATGCAATGGGTCTATGTTTAAAGTCACTAGAAGTGGCACCATGGAGTACATTGCAAGAGCCGACATTAACAAGCAGAGGGCTAGTTTTACAGTGTCTATATCTAGACACGCCAAAAACCCAAAACTTAAGGCCATCAACCGAATAAACTTGGCAATAAACAAAAACTTCACAAGTAATTAAAACTGAAAATCAAGTAAAAAGGACTGACAAGTTTTTCTCAATAAATAGCAATTTGAAAGACACAAGAATAGTAGAAAGCTTGAAAGCAGTTATAACCAATACCATTAATTAAAATAGCTTGAGCATATGGGTCAGAAAGATGTAATCCTTGCCACCAGAAGACAAAGACACAAGCCACAGTTGTGATAACCACTCCAAGTGGGAAAGTCATCCAGGCTACTTTCAACAATGTTGTAGCATTGTCTTTTGTTGAAGCACCCTCACTGTAGCACAAGACATGAAACCTGGGTGTAAACAAACGGCTAGAAACATAGAGCTAAAATGTCCTCAACAGAAGTTCACAATGTATCAGAAGGATGGGACCCAAGAGCTTATCTCTTCTCAAACTAATATATTGATGACATATAAAAAATCCAGGTTAAGTTGAACATGATGGAAACGAGCACAAATTACTACAATGAAGCAAATAAACATAGAAAAGAATATGATGCAATCCATGAAAAGGAGATAGAAATCACAATTTAATATCTGCTCGCATGCAGGCTCGCCGGAACCCCTCGCGACTAAGAAACAATACACATGTCACAAACAGATGGAACTGAACTGCATAAACCTAAAGAAGAAGAAATCAATCTATAATGAATTGAAAGTGAACTTTAAGAATTAAGAAATGTAGGCAAAGGATAGTTGCGTTTACCGCATAGTCCTCCGCAGTGAGGTGCCTCACTATCCAGGAATTGAATATGAATGGGATTCCTCTCGACAAGAACTGTGTAGCTATATCTCCCACACGAAATTCAACAAAAATTAAAATAAAAATCGACAGAAGAGACGATTGACAATTACAACTAAAATAGGAGAGAATTAAAGGGAGAACTAACTAACCCAATAAGTATTTGAAAGTGCGAGATAGATTTGTACTGTCACTGTCAGATGAAATTGTAGATGAAGCTTTAGACATTTTGAAAACGATCTTAGGTTTGTCCTCTTTGGGTTTATGGAAAATTCAAGGGAAAAGAAATTGGAATCCTTGAATTTTAATTTTCTTGAGAAAGGAATGGAGGGAAATATTTGGAAAATTTAAGAATAATTATTATCTATAACTTTCTATTGAAAAAGGTAAGGTAAATTCAGGAAGACAACAAGTAACGAGAGAGATGAGATGAGGAGGAGAAGAGAAAGAGATGAACCAGAAAAAAAAAATACGGTGACCAAGTCGTTTAGGACTTTAAGTTCGGCTAAAAAAATTTTTAAAAAATTACAGTAATCGGAGAAAGAAGAGAAAATGCGTTGCTTAGTGACTGCTGGTTTCACGGCCCGCGGGGGCGCAACCGAGGCCCAGCACAGTGACCAGGTCCCAGGCCCGTGACAGTAGCCCAACCCAAATGGTAAAGGCCAAACTAAGCCCATGATACAAAAAAAAATAAACAAGAAAATTGCTTGAGAATGATTTTTCTTTCTATTTTGTTTATCTCTTTCAAATATGATGAGTTTAATTTTTTTTCTATTTTTTTTTAATTTACCTTTTAATTGGCAGCCAAAAGAGGTAAGGCAGAGCATTAGACAAAGTTTAAGGCATTCTTTTCGAGCGATGAAATATCCCTCACATACAGTTTAGCGAGCATATAACTCAACAGCCTCAGCGTAGACGATTTAGTGATGTCCAAACGCAATAAAACTGTCTCAAAATTCTCAAACTTACAACAGAAACCAAGTTAAGATGCTAAGAAAAAACAAAAACACCGAATATGGTCCAGAGGATCAACGGTAGCGGCGAAGAGAGGGTGTGTTGTTTCTCTTCCAGTTTGCCCTTCTCGAAGGTCTGGCCTTGTGGTGCAAGTGTCCCTTGCCACGAAGACCCCTGTATTTCTTGCCAGCAGAGGTAAGTCCGCGGAGTTCCCTGTGCTTGTGAACTGGATTGCAGATCCAGTTGATTCTTGGGTCATTGCGGATGGCATTGTGGGCAGTATCAACCAAGATGACCTCAAAATATTTGTATGTTGAATCCTGTAAAGACAATAACTCTGAACGTTAAACATCATGCTAAACTAAGGAGTCCCTCGAACAACATGGGCATCAATTTCCACATGAAAATGGATATAATCTACAATAATGATTGGTGTTCATTCTTACACTATGAGCATAAAATGTTCAGTCACAATAACTCAATCAAATCTTTCTTCAAAAGAATAACAAGAAGTTTTTTAAAAAAAAAAGTGCCTGACAGTAGAACTCACCTCGTTGATCCAATACGAATTCACAACCCTAAGACCACCAATATTCCGACCAGCTCTTTCCTCGGCAACTGATTGCTTGCTGCACTGGAATTTCAGCTGCGTGACACCCTGGTTTGTGGGTTTGCCATACACAATACCTTTAGAAACTGGTCTCTTTCTTCCACCACGTCTTACACGGACACGATAGACAACATAACCCTATTAAAAAGCCGACTTAGTCACCAGAAATAACATTGAAAGAGAATATATTAACAGGGAGAAGATGTCCTTAATGCAGAAACGAAGCAATGTTACAACAGTAAATTATCTGAACTATGAAAGTAACCATGCCAACTTACATATGTAGGGGAAAAGATATTAGAGGACTAATGGCGTATCAGATAATAACATGATTTCCGTAGTTTTACCCATAAGCAGAAAATGCTTAGACAAAGTAAGTGAATAAAAATAAATCAATCAAAATATTGTTCTCACATGCATCAACACTGAATTAGACATTTGATTAAAGTAAAAATATTTAATACTAAGCCAAGAAAAGGCATAATCTAGAACTCTAGTCACTATGCAGTTCTGGTTTTCAAATTGAGATACCAGAAACACAGTGTAAGGCTAATAGCAGGATGAGAGAAATTCTGAAGCAAGGAGTGGATTGAAGTAGCACCATAGTAAACGCTGAAAGTTTCTATCAACATTACTGCTATGCAGTTTTCAGAACAAAGGATAATCATAAAACTAAAATATGTTTCATTACAACAAATATAATAAACCAAAACTTACAAGATAAAAAACCTAACCTTATAAAAAAGCAGAGGCAGAAAGCAATATCAAAGAAACAATCTTTGGGATTAAAAATAAACCAATACATTGGAATGAGGACAAACAAAATTATTTAATTAATCAAGGGAACAATGAAGGAAATTAATTAGGTAGGACAAAACCCAAAAAAAAAAAAAAAGGCCCGTTTGGGTTTGGCTGGCAGAGATGGAACGTTTTTGTAGATGTAAACAAAAATAAATTAATCACAAATCTACTTCTAATCCCCTACTTTTTTTCCCAGTCAATTCATAATTTCATAATGTACAAAGCCTTTTGTCTTCCTTTAAGTATTAGACAAAATTTTACTTCAAAAACTCAAATTTGTGCAAGGAAATGAATAGATGAAGACATAAGAGCAGTTTAGATTAACCTGATTTATCATAATTAATTTTCCTTCTGACGAAGATATTATTTTTATTTAGCAGTAATTATATTAACTTTTAATGAAATAATTGAAGAAGTAGTCATAATTGATTAAAATTTTTTTCTAAAGTCCTAATTCATTCACATTATCTTCTTAATTGAGATTTAATAATAGAAAGATGGAGTAAGAATTAAGAGATCGAGATAGGAGTGAAAATGAAAGATTAATTAAGAATATGAGTCTCTTGTCAATTGAGTGGCATATGTGTTCACTATGGATGTTGCGGGTTTAAGATGAGTTAAGCCTTATTAATTGAATATTAGTTCAAATGATATAAATGTTGGTTAGACTCTTAGAGCTTCGAGAGGACTTAGATCTTACTAACTGAGTATTAGTTTATATGATATATATATGTTAATAAAACTCTTTATAATCATAGGTTTTACCTTATAGTTGGATTTGGATTGAGGAAAAGGGAAAGAAAGGGAAAACAAAAAAAGTAATGAAAACAGAAAATTTTTTTATTTATTTGGATAAAATTTTAATTTAAAATAAAGAGATAAAAAATCAATAACTTTTGGTTTTTTATATAATCTTTATTTTTTTAATATCCCAATTTGAAGGAAAAACTAAGGAAAAGAAAGTTGAAAAAATTTTATTTTTATAAAAAGATTATTATATCTATATTTTTATTATGACATTAGATTTAATTATATAATTAACTAACATTTCTTACAAAAATAAATTATTTATGAGTATTTTATATAACATCACAGTTTATAAATATTTTATAAATTTTCAAGTCTTAATAACAAAATAAGCTAAATTATTGTTAGAATAAATTAAAATGCCGAATTAAACTTAAAATTAAAAGTAGATTAATAACCAGCTAACACATCTTACCATATTAAACATACTTAATTTTGTTTAAAAAGATTTGTTTATACAAGTTAGGTAACATAAAAATACATTTGTATATTATATATTATTTTATAAAAAAAAGTTATAATTGAAAAAATATTATAATGAATTATTTTTTTTTATTTATCCAAATAATAGTTGTTAAAATTTTTTTTATTTCCTTTCATTTATTAGTTTTAATTATTCAAACAATATGTACATGTATCCTTTTATTTCTTTTAAAAAACTTTCCTCTCATTTATTTTTTTTATTTATATATATCCATAGAGAATTTAAACTTTGCATATTGAGTATTAACTCAAATAACATGTATACTGATTAAATTAAATTATAAATTCAAAATAATTTACATGTTTAATATCCTTAATTAAATTAAGTAAATATAGATTGAAAATTAGGAATTGATTAAAAATAAAAAAATATATATGTCTCTTGTAATGAGACCTATGACATCAAAGACAAAGGTGAGAGATGAATAAATTATGTGGGTCCTAGAGCAAATAAATAAAACTATGGAGGGGTCAAGTGCATCAACTTTTTTAGTTTTTTTTTTTACCTTTGATTATAGGCCTAAATTTAGTGCATTTCTTCAACAAGGCCCCCATTGATTCCTTCTGCCAATTGCTCTATTTTGCTTTAACGCAAGAGGAAACACAACACAAGTAACATAAACACTGCAAGGATTACTGAAATTAGCATTATTGAATTATCAATTATTTTTTGAAACAATAACGAAGATCCAATGATTCTCAAAAGTCAATGATATCATAGACAATAAAACTCAAACTAATTTCTCCAATAAAGGAACCATAATAAAATAAAATAAATAAAAAGAAACTACAAGTTTTATATGTATTTTAATTTAAAATTCAATATCTATTTATATTATTTATATTGGGTTTGATTGAATTTTGTGTCACATATTAAATTATACTAATTCAATTGATAAAATTATTAATTAATAAAATAATTTTATTAAAAAAATTATCAATTTTCATAAATTAAAAAAAAAAAACTCATATTTGCTTCGATTTTTTTTTCTTATCACATAGTGAGCGTCAAAAGATTTAGTAAATTATTATGTAATTACCTAAACTTAAATGTTAGAAGCTTAGACTGTCATAATTGTCATATGAAACAAAAATAAAATAAAATATTATATTTTATATGCGATTTTTAATATATAAATTTTATACATTATTAATAAATTAAATAGTGTTATTTTATTAATGAATAAATTAAAATATTTAAAAATCTTTAAAATAATGACACAACCTTTTAAAAATAATTTTTTATATTTATCTTTTCTATATTTATTTTTACTTTTTTTCATTATTGAGGTGATGATTTTTAATTTATTGATAATATATAAATATTATACATTATGCATAACGTATAAATTCATAAAACAATAACATCTATATGAATGTCAAAAAAATCATCTAATAAAAATTCGAAAATCATTAAACTTATGATATTTTATTATAATTAATTAAATTTTAAATTTACTCTTAAATATTTATTTTTATTCTAATTATGCTCTTAATTTTACGATTAATAATTTTTATCCAACAAAACTCAATTAGTGAAATTTCATGTTTGAAAGCTTAACTGATGATAATAAAATGATAAAAATTTAGATAATCATTGAATTTTATTCGAAAATTTTTTATCATTTTATCAAAAGGAAAACAATGAGCGAATAAAATATGGCAAAGTCACGGGACATTGCCGTGAAGAAAAACAAAGGGAAAAAGTTGAGGGGTCGTCCAAAGGAAAAATATGAAAGAAATTGTACGTTCCAATCCAGTATCCACATTTCAAAACTCCAAACCAAAAGAAACTCGCCTCGTAAGCATCAGCCGACGGGCCGTCAAAATTCTAAATCGAAACCAACAGCTACGTACGAAGAAAGAGAAAGAACCAATACGTACGAAGAAAGAGAAAGAAACCAACAAAATTACATCACTAGATTTGATGTTTTAGTACTATTAAATTAAACATAGAAAAGAATAACAACTGACAAACCAATCTCAAAAACTATAACACATTTTATGATGTTTGGTCCGGGCAAAGGCATGGGAGGAGGAGGAGCCAACATGTGGAGAACAGTTGGGAAAGTAGCAGTTGCCAGGGCTGGTGTTACCACTGATAACCCTACAGCTTTCCAGGACCCACTTCCTTCTACTCCTTCTTCGCCAACTTCTACTTCCCACGGGCAAAATAATAGTGATAATTCTCTTTCTATTTCTTCTGGGAGTTCTGCTTTTGGTTCGTGTAACAGTGGCGTTCCAATCAGTGAAAATTCTGGGTTGCCAAGTAACTGGCCTGCCGTTGCTGCTGATGAGTTTGAGTGGGTGTCTTTGGATGGGAGTCCAGAGGATAAGCCACATGGGGTTTTTGATGATTTTGTTTTAGGACCTGTTCCTTCTGTTGGTGAAGTCCAAAATGTTGTCTCTGCTCTTCAAAGGTTAGTTTTTTTTTTTTTTTTTCTTTTCTCTTGGTTTATTTTTTAGTAGTTTTTTTTTTATTTATGGTTTTAATTTATGAATTGAGGGATATGAAGGGAAGATATGTTTTCTTTTTGTTCTTTTGTACTCATGAATTTACTTTACTTCTGTTCCGTTACTGTTGTATATTGGAATGATGAAATCAATTGATCTTCTCTTGTATTGCTCGCTGCTGCCATTTTTGTTTTGATTTGTTCTCTTAGCAGTTAGCAATTAGCATTGCTGCTTGTACCGCATGGTGGTTTTTCCTTAATCTAAAATTTAGAATTTTTAGCATATCTTCTCTGTTTTCACTGTGAGGTTGGTTGTGGTGGCCGTAGTGCCGTCAGGGCATGGTAAATTGGTGTGACCTGGCCTCAGTTTGCCCTAACAAATGAAGTATTTCTTTTTAAAAGATGTCATGACCAAACAAGTTTCAATAGTTTAATAATCAACATGATAGATAGGGACGGTGATGGAGATGGGGAGTCAATAGCATACAAAATCAATTAAGAGAAAAATTGAAGTCTGCGAGCACAAGAATGATTTGAAACCTAAATGTTTTATTTACAGCATGAAAAGAATGTTTGGAAAGCGAAATAAACAAAATAATTTAATTGAACTAAGAAAAGAATGAACTGAATATATGTTGGTTTTTTTTTTTTTTTTAAATTTAGTTTTGGCTGAGTGAAGCATCTAAAATATGGATGATGATGATGACTATGGCTTTAGCTGAAACAACAATGAGTTCCATAGCAGTTTTGTCGCTATTCTAATGTCCTTACCACTCAGTAGTAATTATTAGTAACTGCAAAATTGATTTCTAAGAAGATGAGATGAAAATTGTGAAATGAACTTAAGATTATTTGACAATTCCAGCTGTTAATTGCTTAAGTGGTAGAATGTGAGAAAAGATGGCTAAAAACTGTAAAATTAGAAAACTTCAAAACAGGAGTGTATGTAATTTATGCTTTTCTCTTCGAGTGGCCTCCTTGAAAAGGAAAATGAAAAAAGAAAAAGGCAAATCTGAGAAGAAATGCTAAATAACAGGGAAAAACGAAGAAAGAAGTCTACTAGATGTGGCAGTGGTCATAGTTGAATGAATATTTAAATCTTAACTGTAGTTCAGAACAAGAACAACCTGCTGCCAATAGGATAATTGTAACTGACAACTACTGTTTGATCATTGCCTTCAGTCACAATTCATGGGGTCTCAATCTAGAAGGATTTCTAAAAGAATTTAAAAGCTCCAATCGGTTATTCAACTGTTTAATTAAGACTTGTTTGGGTAAATTTTTACTTGATAACTTGGGAACTTTATATTGAAGCTTGGTCAGGACATTCCTTTTTTGCTAAAAAGCAGTCAACTTTGTAGATTTTACAATTGTTGAACAAGTTGACTCCTACAAACTCTACTTTGGCAGTCATTGTTGTTAAATGGCTTTTGTAATTTTAGGGTTTTCAATGCAAGCTCGTGTCCTCAGCTTATCAGGGATAAATTCTCTTATAATGCTGGCAAGGATATAGCTTATCAACTTCCAAGCCCAACTGGCTCAATGCACCAGATAAATTCTGCTGGGTCTGAGTTGGATTGGATGGAGCCTTCTCTGCATCTCTGTAACACAGGAGCATTGCAACCTTATGGATCAAACAGAGTTTATGATGCTTTCCATTTATTGCAGACAGAGCCAATGGTTCAGGTCTGTTCTTTACCAACTCTTTAATTGCTGCACATGACCAGTGCGTTGCCTTCTGTATATTAGAGGCTACTGCAGTACTGCTATATTATGCATGTGCAAATCAGTAGATATGGTGCAATATGGGTATTATATCAATAGTATCATCATAAATGGTCAGTAAGTTGGTCCTTGTGTTTTCAAGCTGCAAGGCATAAGATAGCTAAGCAGTTAGAATACTGGTTGTATGTTATTGTTGTCTAAAAGGAAGGTAGCCAAAGATTTGATTATATTGAACTTGGATTTTTGTACTTTAAATTATTTCATATATAACAATGAAGTCTTTACTTTTTGGCAGAAAATGGTCATTTCATTGTCTTCTGATGAAGCTGTTTGGAATGCTGTTTTGAACAATGAGGTGGTGAGGGAGCTGAGGGAGTCATACTATGCAGGTAAGTTGGAGTTCTATGAATGTATTTAATTAAACTCATCTGATCACTGGTCAGTGCATGTTAATCTCATATTGATATATCTAGAGTGATTAATTTTGGGAAAACATTAGTGCATGTTTCATTGATCATTTAACAAACTCTTAGTGTTGTATCTTGATGACCGTATCTAGTGAAGTTTTTTGAATCTAGTCTTTGAACTTCCCTTGAGACTGCAGATACTTTGGCTTTTCCCTCTTTATATGTTTGATTATTTACTGTATCTGTATCTGTTATGGGGTATCTCTCAACCTATTGCATCGGCATTTGTCGTATTTGGCCTTTCATCTTGCTTTACGTGCATGCACGCGGGTAAGTGTGTGTGAGTGTGCCAGAGAGATAGTTTTCTATTAGAAGGTAAAAATTTTCCTCATTTGGAAATTGTGCATATATGGATCCACCAATTTGGTGGCCGGTAAAGATTCTTCTGTCTCTAAAGATATGGGGTCAAAGCTGCAGGCAAGCTGCAAAATAAGAAATTTTAGATCCTTTTTGCGGTATGGCTCTTTACCCCTATGTTGATCAATGATTACAAGCTTCCAGAAAATTAAAAAAAAAACTCGCTAAAAAATTTATTACCATCTAGTGACATATTTACATGAAATTTCCATGATTATGCAGCTGAGGACAATAATCCACTGAGTTCTGATGAGAGTTCAGGAGAGAATTCTGATGAATCAAGCAAGGCAACGAATATCGTGAAGTGGATTTTTGACAACAGCAAAGCAAAGTTCATGGATATATTTGAGAAAATGACAAAGCTTGTGAATGATTTATTTAAGTTGCCTCTTGATAATGAGACAACAACAGCAGGAACCCCAGATCCATTCGAAGAAAGGCTGAGAACCTCGTTCTTGCTATCTGTTGTAGTCCTGTTGGTTGTGGTTGTGACTCGAGCGCACGCTGCTTGAATATAATTTGACGACATGACAGGTTGTATCTACCAATTTGGTTCTGTTAGCTTAACATGTTGTAAGATAATGGATATTGGAACATCTTTAAGTTTTATGTCGTGCTTGTATAGAAACCAGGGCATCTTATTTTAGGTTATGATTGTTAAGATGTTTGTGTTCAATTCTTCTGAACATGGAAATTTTATAGTCATTACATTGGAGAGGTGAAAACTCTCAATTGCCTGCAATGATTTTTTTTTTCTATAAATATTTCTGTGGACATGAATATTGTGTAAAAAGAAACTCCCTTTTCTTATTTTTGGTCAACAAAAAACCTATCTTTTTATTGTGAGTTCGACAGGGTACCCTGTTGGCAACACCATACAATTCTAGCTGCTTATTTACAAAACATGCTTCAGATATTTCCCTTTTAGGTACAACTCCAACATGCTATAAGGTTTGTTTACATCCTGATCACAGAATTCAGGACAGAACTAACATCAGGAGTGACAACTACCCGTTTACCAAGCTCTCCAACAACACAACACCGTTTCTCTGTTGTTTTTAGGGCTGCAAAATTGGCGGTACCTACCATATAATATTCGTAACTTATAACTTGAATAACCAAACACGACAAAAATGCCTAGAACAAAATCAAATTTAAGCATGCATAACTTGTGGCACAGTGGTACTAACAGAATGTTTTTGTTCAAGAAGAACAAAGGAGAAAACAATAGCCAGTCACTAAAGCTTCGATAAAAATGCTATCATTACCGAATAACTTACAATATCTATTCATGGTTTAAAAAAAAAGGTTTTTTAGTGCACCTCATTTTCTTCTCTTTTTTTTTTTTTTTTTTTTTTTTTTTTTTTTTTCTGAATGCACCGTAATTTTCAGTTTCAGAGCTAAGTAATGGATATAATAGCTAATTTCTAATATATAAATAGCCAGATAACAACCTTTGGGGAAGTTAGGGAAGTCTCTGAAGAAAAAATTAGTTTCTTGATGCAAACACAAGCATTGCCTTTCACTTATGATGATGATCTGTGTAGACCACAGAGAAAATAGATTGTTAAGAAGGTTCCAGTCAAGCTAATTTAGCTGTTAAGTCCTTCATTTCTTGTACCAGGACTTGGAACCAAGGATTGAGTGGAGGGATATGGAAAGTTAGGGGTAGGAGGGTCGGACAGAGTGCCCCAACTTATTGATTGGGAAAAAAAAAAAAGGAGAGACAGAAAAGAGAAAAGGATAGATCAATTAAATTCCATAGCAATTACGTAGTGAACTTAGAAGCCATAGCCACAGATCAAAACTGGACCTCTAGTACAATCCATTGAGATAATGCCCCCGGCAAAATAAAAAAAAATGCTTTTTATCGTCCATTGACTTTTTTCTTTCATCTTTTTAAAGGTGATTGGCTTAACTTTTTCTTTTTGGGTCAATCAGTCCTTTCTTTCACCGTTAGCCGACGTCTAACAGGTTATACCACATTAGTTTATTAGTTTTACATCCGCATTTAGGCACACTGCAAAAGTGGAGTTCAAACACTGGAATAACAAAGGACGAGTGTTCTGATACTCTGTCCACAAAACAAATGAAAAAGATCCATCGTAGAAAGGATGAAATTTCACTGACCTAATAAAAGCAGTGAATCAAATATCACATACAATATGTAACTTAAAACTGTGTAAAAAAACCTATGACCCAATAACAACCACCTAAGCAGTAAAAGATTGTTATGCTTTCTTTGAGCTAAAAAATTCTTTCACACCCCCCACCAAAAGCCCACTACCAAACACCAACCCTCTCCCATTGGTTAAAAGGCTTTCTGTCTCATTCCTCACACACAAAATGGGAGCAAAGCCATTCTATCTAGGACTAGGAGGCTAGTGGCCGATGCACCAAAATGCTTTGATTGGAGTCCACAAAAGCTTGTGACAGCAACACATAACCTTGCAAAACATCTCATTATCTCAGAACATGAGAACCCTGACCAATTGGTACAACATAAGCTCTGATAAGGTTGAAAAAGAAAATTACGATAACAGAAAGGATGAGTCTGCCTCAGCATTTAACCAACCAGGATTACAGAATGGGAAATCCATGACAAGGGAAAGCCGCCATGGTTTGGTGGTTTCACCATTAGATAAAAGACTTAGCAATATGCAGATTAATCTTTCTCTAAAAGTATCTCCAGCCTTACAAATGCCAAAAGCAAAACAAACAAGCAAAAAAAGGAAATCAGAGTAAGTGGCCAATCGGTTCAGGCACAGAATATAAACACACCAACAGGTGATGTTTCAAAATTCACCTGGAAATGTCAGCTACGGCTTCAATAATTTTTATCATCGACTAGTTGTTCAGAAAAGCAACTAGATCAGACAATAGTTTTAACCTTTTCATAAACATCACATGCCAAAATTCATCCTTAAAAACCAGGCTCCATTCTAAAGTTTTTAGAACAATAATAGAAAGAGAATACGATCAATAAAGCATCACCAATGAAATTTAAATTATTAAAAGCTAGGGAAGGAGCTTAGCAATACTCTGCTCCAGTAGTAACAAACTGCAGCAAGAACATATAACTGTTTCATTTTTTTAGGCAATGCATGATTTTAAAAGCAACACTGGCCCTTGGGTTAGGTTGCACCAAACACAGTTTAAACCAAATCCATGCAGCACAATAATTGACAAGATTTGTTATATGAACAATAGTTGCAATGGAGACTATATAAAGTTTGAAAAGAGTTAAAAGTAAAACTCCAAACAAAGAAAAAAAAAAAGAAAATGAATTGAATTGAATTCTGCCATCCAATAGTCTAAATAAATGATCTATGATATACTGTTTTTAGTTCTATTGACTCCAAACATGAAACAACCCTGACAAACAAGTGGCTATAAATCAAGAAGAAAGGTTTCTAGTCAAAGTCTAAGTAAACATATTAAGGTTACCTATATAGTGGATCATATAGGGTAACCAACTCTTTAGTTTAATAAAGCTTTATAATCATCATGTCAGTTTTTTAGGAAGGACCAGACTTAGTTATACAGATTCCAAACATCAATTGCTACAACAAAGGTCCTAATAGCTATTGAGAGTGCACAATTTCTAACCTAAGCAGGCAAGTAGAACAATCAAAACCTATTAAGGATGTATTACTAGCTCAAATGATTGCTCTTTTTCTAACCAGCTCTGTTATTCATAATTGAATGAATGCCAGCCATACTTAAATGGCCTAAACCAAAATCCTCTTTAAATTTACAACTATCGTATCCACTTTAGTTGAACCACATATAACCTCGATTGATGAATCAAACACCTCCCATTCATTTCCCATAATAACAGCAACCATGGTAACTATTTTCTCAGTTCAAGACCCAGAAAAACAATATTGAGAACCCAGTGGCTACGGAGACATGTATGGTTTCTTTCACCTGCCAAATCTGAACTTAGAAGATACATCAGTGCAACAAAAAGAAAAGGGGAATCACAAAAAAACATTCAAACATACATACGTATATTTATATATAATTGAGAGAACATACCCCAGTGAACTTCGTATTAAGGTAATTAACTTGAACACACGGAAACAAGAAACGGATGCCAGGGAAGCTTCTAGGCAGGGCAACGTGGCAAATTTAATATCCTTACAAATGAAAGGGCATTATAACCAGAAAATAGCATAGTATTCTAGGCTAATTAACAAAACCATTAAAAAATCCCCCAGAGAAGTAAAATGTAGTAACAAAAATTGCCGGGAACCAGTTGTTGAAAAAAGCTTGACAAAAAGGAACCATAGTAAACATTAGCAATCAGACATAAAACCGAAGCCACTATGAATTCATAGAAAATAAAATGAACTCCTGCAGGTGCACTGAAAATTTTAATATTAATAAAATTTGAACAGCTTTTTCGGAATGCAACTTCATGAGCTGAACTTTTATCCAAGTCTCTGCAAATTTCATAACAGTACAGGAACATAAAAGATGTGAGTCCCAAACTTCCAACAAAGTCATGGCAAGAGGTAAGAAATCAGGTTCACAAGAGCTCCAAGAAACATCAGTCCTGTAAAATTATAGAATAATAACAAGGGAAAGAATTAAGAAATGTAAAATTAAAATAACAGCAAACTTGGAAGATAGAGTTGGTAGCATTCATATCAGAAACCCAAAAACATAAGGCATTTTCTCATAGGAAAGCATGTGGATAGCGTGAGGTCCAACCATCATCAAATCCATCACTGCACTATAAAGTTAAATCATAATCTTAAACATGAAATATATGGTCACATATTTGTAAGATTATATCACATTTTTTAATGGAAAAATGAAGCATTAAAAAAGTAAACACTTGAAACCGTTTCATACTAAGTTAGAAGTTCAACAATTGTAAGTCATTAGAAAAGGACTGGCTAGAACACTTCTTTCCTTCTCAAATATATAAAATGTCATGTGAGATTACCAAGATAAAAAGGTAAAGATGGTAAAAAGCAAAGTTAAATGGTGAAAGATTTAAAGAATCAATCCAGTTGAAACTCCTATCACTAACCCTGATCATGTACTGCCAGAATTCCTTCTTTTAGATCAGTTCCTCTTTAATACAAACAATATAAAACAAAGAAAAGTACTCTCGACCATAACTTCAACTTCTACCCTCTTCAAGTTCTTGAACCTTCATAAGATATATGTGCATTTGTATTCCTTTCACATAAAGAACTAGATTAGAAAAGGCAGTAGGCCTCTAAATTTTTTAATAGTAACCAAAATCTCACAACAGGCAGCAACCAAAAAGATATTGCTGCATGTAAAAATAAGCAGCTGGGGTGTATGGTCATGACCAGAACCATATAGCACTGCTAAGGATCTTCAGATGGTTAGGTGGTGGGTTATCAAAAATGAAACCAAAATCAGAAAACAACACATGGCTATAGAAGAAGCAAACAGATTTAACACATTACCTCTCAGCACATAACTATCAATGGAGTATATTTGCATCACTTCATCTCTGCCATGAACTTCTCGTACTCAGGATCTGAACCATAGGTTGTTTTCTCTCCAGAGGAGACTGTGGGAGGCAGAGGAGGATTTGGTGCCCAAGGCACATTACTCATGCTCTGGGAATGCTCCGTAGAAGTCGTAGGTGCTGAAGGAGGGGGAGGGGGAGGAACTGCATTGTAATAAGAAGAATAACCTAATGAAGATGTTGGATATACAGATTGTGAATTTGGAGGCATTGCAGTCAATGAATTCCCATAAATGTTTGTAGGAATAGATGTGGCAGAAGTGCTGTTTTCAGATTGCACTCCTGGTGGGAAACTTGGTGCCGTTTCACTAGAAGTCACAGGAGGAGGTGGAATACCAGGGGGAACTGTCCGCATTTGTGGGGGATATTGCAAGCCATAAGGAGGCAGAGGCTGACCTGGAACAGGAGAATACATGGTTGATCCAGGAGGAGGAGGAGGAGGAGGAGGAGGGGCATAAGGAGCATAAGGAGGAGGAGGAACTGGAGGTCCCCATGGAACTGGATTCCCTGCATAACTAGCAGTAGCTGCATTGGGAAGAGGACCTCCAGTTGTAAATTGCTGTGATGGATAGGCACCAACCAGTTGGCTAGAGACAGGGTAAGAGGGTGCTGACGCGGGAGGACCAGGAGGCACGATAGGTTGTGGTGGCTTGCCAGCAACTCTCACAGCAATGGTTCTTCCCTCCAGGCGATAACCATTCATTCCCTTAATAGCATTGTTTGCCATGTCAACATTGGCATACTTCACAAAACCATACCCTTTACTCAGTCCTGAAGTCCGGTCCTTAATTACCTTTGCCATCACAATATCACCGTAAGAAGAAAACAAACTGATCAAACCATCATCATCAAGATTAGGAGGCAAGTATCCAATGTACAAATTAGTATCATCATAGTCCTTGGGGGGCTTAACAGCATTGAAACCTAAGCCAGGGTGTACACTTTCAGCACTTCCACTGTTGCTAGCCCAAGAAGGATTGCTTCCAGAACTGACGGATGAAGAGTTTTGCTTGCTTGCTGATTCAGGGACGGTACCTCCTAACTCAGCCAAGAAATTCTGATATTCATCATCCATTTTCTTCCCTGTTGTTCCCTTCATTGGACAATCTATTGTTGGATGCCCACCATCACCACATATCTTACATAAAACATCACTCTTAAAAGTTGAAGTGCGTGAAGGACACGCATATTGACGGTGCCCTGGCTCACCACACAACCTACAATACTCTTCATCTCTTATCGTTCCATTCAAGGCAGCAAGTTCCCTCAACTGTTGCCTCTTATGCTCATTCAATACTTCATCAACAGGCTGCAAGAGCTTTTCCACCATTGCTGCAGCAGCATCAAGTGATTCTTGTGTTTCAGCCTCAACCAAAACATGCAAGTCCTCATTCTCTGAAGGATCAGGCTTCAAATCCCTCTTCTGCTGCAACCTACCTTCCTTCACTGAACCTTTGCCCCTAATTACAATCTTTGCACCCGTATCCTTCTCCATCCTCTTTTGGGTATTCCCTCTAGGCCCAATAATCAACCCGATAAAATTGTAACCCGGGTACTCTTTCATCGGTATGTAAAGCTTCTTCTGAAGCTTTGGTGGCCTATAGTCTGCTGGCGGCTTAAATGCTGGATTCTTCTTAAGAATCTGAGATATAATTTCTTGACGCTCTTTAGTCAATCTCTCTCTTGCTCGATATTCCCTGGTATTAATCCTAATCCCCATATTATCATATACAGGTTCAGGTGAAGGAGACCTAGCTCCCTCAGGTCTATCATCCAAAGGCAATCCAGATTGCAACATTCTACTAATCTCTAGCAGCCTACTATTCAAAGCTTGAATCTCAGAGTCAAATTGGATTCCTCCAGTGAAATCTTTCATGAAATCAGGGAGCTGAATCACCTGCTTCGGCTCATCATCTGCCCACCGGGACTTCCTCTTCTTGTTCCCACTGCCAGCCTCATCATTCCAGCTCTGGTTGTTGTTCGAATCGGAAGGCGGGTCCCACCGGCTCCTCCTTCGCCTTCGGCTAGTGGTTTCCTCTTCTCCGCCAGAATAATCCTTGTCAGTGGTGCCACTATAAGTGTTAATTAACCCACTTTCCGACAGCAGAGGCTTCTGAATTTCGGGTTTCAATGAAAAATCATTAATAGTATTGGAATCAGTATCGTGATAAACCTGGTTACCGCCGTTGTTGTTGCAGCCATTGTCAGGGTCGCATCCTAGGGTTTTGGAAGGATCGGACTCGAAAGCTTGTGACAGAGGTGGCGGAGGCGGGTAATCGGAGGCTAGGGTTTCCGAAGGAGGAGGAGGGTTTTGGTTGTATAAATTTAGTGTTTGTGCAGAAAATGATTGGGGATCATTAAGGTTTGTTTGGACAGAATCCATTGGGAGCCAAACAGAAAGCTTAGTGCTTGAGTTCCAGATAAAGAGAGAGCGGGAGACAAATAAGAGTTCTCGAGACGCTTTCGCGAGAAGGTAAATGCATGGCGGAGCTGGTTGGTATTTATGGTGCGGAATTAGGCGGTGGCTCGACGTCTCTTATGTTGGATCCATATCCGCATTCTGGATGTCGACCTGTCGGAGTCTGAGTGGTTGGTATTTTTGGTGTCGGGTTCAAGCCATGTTCGTCCAATTTTGATTGGTTCCGCTGAAGCCTGATCGTGATTATACCATTGCTTTGGCCCAATAAATTGTATAAGTTGGGCTGTTTTCTTCATACTTTCCTTTTTACACATAAAGCCCAATATTTTAGCCTATAACAACATATTTTTTTTAACTCAATTGGATGGGATCAACGAAATGGATTGCTAATTCTCATTTTTTATTGAATTAATCGATTAATTTGCTTTCGAAAGTATTTTTATTAGAAAACTTTTTGGAAAAAAATTGACATATTTCACTTTATTTTATTCTAAAAATTTAAATGAAAAGTACTAAAACTTTTACGAGTTATAATAAAATTTTTAAAATATGTGTATCATGGAGTGATTGTAAATTTTTGTATAGAATAATAATCCATTGTTTAGTAGTTTCGTATAAAATATAAGACCATGGAAGAAAACTATGGTAAAATGAATTAAAAAAAATCAAAATTTACAATAATTGTGTAATTTATTAATTGAATGTTTAATTTTTAATTTTAATTAATGTGATCAAGGTTCAATAAAAAATTTTAATCACCCTAAGTAGAATATATATATATATATATATAGGTGTATGTTTACGTTCAAAACTCATTTATCATTTTTTATTTTATTACAAAGCTAATTACACGTCCGTAACAGATGCAAAAACATCAAAATCCCCAAAGATTAAGAAGTTAACCTCTCACTGCCATATTATTAGCAAAGTCTTTGAACCCAAAGATAATCTCAAGTCTCAAGCAGATCTTTCGGGATTTCCAACAACAAAAGGCCCATTAGTCCCATGCTTGCCAGGCTCATCCAGCATAATGCATCCATCAAGAACAGCCGTCAACTGGAAAGGCGGAGCATCACTGGCCAGCCACCGATCAACATAGAACACGGTCTGGGAACAAGCCTTTTGAGGCCCCGAGGACGTGACCTCAATATAGTCACAGTACCACCCATGGTGCGACCCTGAGCCGTCGGAGGTCAAGTTGAGGCGGCAGATGGGCGAGGCAATGCAGCGGCCCCGCCCGCTGAAGATGTCAAGGTTGCCACGCTCGTAGTAGTCGTGGGAGGGTGACATTAAGCCCCATGACTGGAGATCTGAGACCCAAACTGAGCGGCCCAATGAATCACCCACAGTTACGCTGATCTTTGAGTCTGTCCCTGCTTTGATGATCGAACCCGTCTTCACGTAGAGAGTGTAAACGCAATATTCATCATTCTGCATTGAAAATCAAAGTCATCATTGCAATAAAAAAAAAATGAACATGGAAAGAAACAAATTTATATATGAAAGGGTTATGGAGAATTTTCAAGTATACTTACGCTGGAGTCTCCTGCGGCTACTGAGAAAAGTAGAACAATCAAGGTTACTGAGAGCCGATGGTCTTTCATTTCTTTCCCTGTTGGAGTGGCTGCAAAACTAAGGATGCTGTGATTAAGCACAGGAGCTTGGCTGATATTTATAGATCGGAGTTGGAGAAAATTGATACTAAATTAAAGCATATTTGACGTGGATTTTGCTTTGGTGGGTTTTGAATTTTCATCATAATGTCTAATGGAGGTGAGGACAAAATGATTAAAGAAAATTTCCACTAAGTCATTATGATCAGACATGTGCAAACCTTATCTTCGTTGTATATAAAAAGCGGATATGGGGCAATGCCCACCTGTAAATATGCTATATATTAATGTAAAAGTAAGTTGAATACTTTGAATAGTTTTATTTGGGCCAAATGAAAACGACCCAGAATCATTTTTGATGCATTAATGACAATTCGTCGGCCCAACGGTATCTTCAAACTTGTATTAATTGTTATGTAAAAAGATATTTTAATTTATCAATTTTAATTATAATTTTTAATTTTAATTAATTATTTTTAATAAAAATTTTCACAAATTTCATTTAAATAATATTTTTCTAAAGTCTTTCTCTCTTACCATTGTCCACATCACTGCCAATTTCTAATTGGCTTAAACTTTAAAAAAAAATGTTTATTTTATATTTCAATAAAATTATTATCATGTTTTAAAATAGTTTTCTTTTCAAAAAAAATGTTAGGGTTGGGAGACTTCTTTAATTCAAGGTCAAAATAAATTGCAGATCTAAAAAAGAAATTATATTAAATTTATAAATTGATTATTAAAAAAATATTGATAATGAAATTTGAATCTAAATATTATAAATGAAAATTCTTACTAACTCAATTAATTTTCATTGGCTAAAATAATTTGTTTATTGATTGAATAACCAAAAAAAAAAAAAAAAAGGTATTATCTCTTGTTGGAGAGAAACCTTCTTATTAAAAAAATGGTACCAAAATCTTTTTTTTTTCTTTCTTCCTTTTTCTGCAAGTTGTCAATCATCAGGTTGTTATTTGTTATCTATATATAAATAATTAGTCAACAAGAAAAACTGAAAGCATAATTCTATATATTACCAAAATTACGCTCATAAGAAACAGAAAAGGAAGAGAAAAAAAAAAAAACAAAAAACACTTAGTGTTGTTGCCATGGCCAAGATTCATGTGAAAATCATTGTTATTTCCCCTATTGGAGTCACGAGCAAGAGCTATCCACCATGACTGTCCATTAAACTCTGAAAAGCATCCACATTAGTCTTACATTACCATTTTTAATATTTAAATAAACTATATCTAATTTCCAATGAGATTGTTGATTAATTTGTTTGTCTTATATCAAATGAGATTTTAGTTCAAACACCAATGATTTCTTGTTCACACAATTTAGAAGTTAAATCCCTACAAGATTAGTGATTAAACTGTATATATATTTCTTTTGGTCGGCAAAAAGTTTAGATGATCAAATCAAAACTTTAACTCACAAGAAAATTTATGAATCTTTTAAAAATTTTAAAACTTAAAAGATCACTTAAGATTTGAAAATTTAAATTTAAATATTTTATATCGAAACTTTAAATCTTAATCATTTGTGTCAACCCGATTATGCAATTGCATATATATAAATATATATAAGTCGGTATTAAACCAAAACCAAAACCAACCTATTTGCTTCCTGTTCTTAAAAAAAAATTTAATTGGCACTCTTTTTTTCAAACATATATGCCTTGTATAGGACAAACAACTAGATGTAACAAAATCTGATGAAACATGCCATGGCATAAGTATTTCATTGTAAGGGTAGGAAGGAAAGGGCGAATCACAACCTGCATGAAGCAGAAGCGACTCCTGGAGGTCTGATTGGCGTCACGTAGAAACCAGATTTTACCATATATGTACCTATTCCATGGCAATTGAAACTGTCAGAAGCTGTGTGGTGATGGAACATAATCAGAGACAGAGAGGGAGAGACAGCACAAACCGGCTAGCTTGGACGGCCTTTTGATAAACATTTATAACAAAAATATTAATAAAATTTTATTAATTATATCTTAATTATAATGTTTCATTAGATCTTGATATCTGGCTTTCCTTTAACATAATTGCATTTCACTATTTTAAACAGTATTGATGCAGTTTCAGATCGAGATTTTGTCCTAGAGTTTCTTTCTGCTAATTCCATCATAGCGGTTCATCTTTCTCGGCTTGGTGAAGAATGGGTATTGTGGGCTTCAGAGGAGTTTGGATTCATCACACCAAGTGACTCTGTTTCCACTGGAAGTAGCATAATGCCTCAAAAGAAAAATCCAGATCCAATGGAACTTGTTCGAGGAAAGTCTGCTAGAGTGATTGGAGACCTGGTTACTGTTCTCACATTGTGCAAAGGACTTCCTCTTGCTTATAATCGTGATTTGCAGGTAGAAACTAATTTTATTCACTTAATGGTGTGGTTATTTCAGTATGTCCATTTCATGGACTCCATTGACACTTCCATTGATGTTATGGTTTATGTTGGTGTTTAATTTGATCTTGTATGGGTACTGACAGCTGTTTGAGCCTATATATTTGACCTTCTTTTTTTGATATATATATATTTTTGATAAACATTTATAATAAAAATATTAATAAAATTTTTATTATTGAATGAATATAGAGTAAAATTTAAATTATAAAAAATATTTTTAATAATTTTATTCATATTATTAAATTTTATATTAAATTTTATTAATATATTGATTTAAATTTTTTACTAGAATTTTTATTAAATCAAAAAAAAAATTTAGAAAATTTTCTTTATAAATTTGATCTAAGTTTTATTCGTTTTATGATATATTGGGTAGGTGGAGAAAACGTGATTTCAAATCCAGTAGGTGCTGAAAAAATTTGCCAGTGTTCGTAAGGCTCCTTTTTGCAGTTGCATTTTGCAGTTCCCTACGGCACTACCTCCTCGCACACCAAATATATTGGGTAGGTGGAGAAAACGTGATTTCAAATCCAGTAGGTGCTGAAAAAATTTGCCAGTGTTCGTAAGGCTCCTTTTTGCAGTTGCATTTTGCAGTTCCCTACGGCACTACCTCCTCGCACACCAATTTCTACCTCCTCAAAAGCGCATACTGTTTATTTGGTGTGGAAAATGGAGGCGAGCAGCTTATGGGACAAATGGGTCGAAAAAGCAATTTCAAAGCTCCAATCTTTGAAACTGCTTCGATCTTTAAGACCCCTTTATCTGTCCAACGAACAACAGGAAGTGGCCAGTGTTGGAATTTCCAATGAAAAAGAATACCAGTTGTTCGACGAAATACAACCATGGGATCGTTCCTCTGTCCAAGTCTCTATTCCTGAATCCACTTACCATAGGTGGCTTCTTGAGATTCCCAGTTCTGGTAATTCTTTTTTCTTTTGATTTTTGGTTTCAAAAGAAAACTTGGGTTCTTTTTTTTTTTTGCTTATATAATTGTGAAAATGGTGAATAATTACTGAATGAATGCAGATGCCAATAACCCCTTTTTTCTTCTTCTTTGATTGGAAAATGACTGGACTTTGCTCCAAAATAGATAAACTTTTGACGTTTGTTTATTGAATTTTGCTCATTGGGCTGGTAGGAGAGGAGATTGTCCCTAAAGAAGGATTAGCTGATGATAATTTTGGCACCTGCCAACAGCAATTCAAGCGGTTAATTTTGTTCTCTGGAAATGATTATTTGGGCTTGAGTTCACATCCAGCAGTTCGGAAAGCATCTGCTAAGGTTTGCTTCATGATTGACTTATCATATTCCTACATAATTTTCTGCCATATTTGTTGATTAAATATTTTTCTTTCGCTGCATTAATTTCATAACAGGCAGCCCAAGATTATGGAATGGGCCCGAGGGGCTCTGCTTTAATCTGCGGATATACTTACCACCATAGATTACTGGAGTCAAGCTTGGCAAGCTTAAAGAAGAAGGAGGTATAGACCTAGGATTAGACTTTTCACCCATAGTTGTTTATATTTAATTCTTTTTTGCTTTTGTTTAAGTCATTTGTTGGTATGTTCAATTTGTTAAGTGTTTAAACATGTTTGGAGAATAATAATGAATGAAATTGATATTTTTGTCCAATCTGGATTATAAATTCTAAACTAGGTTTTTGAAATCCAAGATCTGTTTTGTGGATTATAGTCAGTGTGATATTCTTGTTCTTTCAATAATTGTTCTTTTGAGCATCAATATTCTATTCTAAACTTTTCAGCAGAAAACTGATGCTTTCCTTTTTTTTTTGTTTTCTTTTTCCTTTTTCACAATTTATGCTTTAGGACTGTCTTCTTTGTCCTACAGGGTTTTCAGCCAATATGGCATTGATGGTAGCACTTGGAAACATTGCATCTCTCCTTGCGGCAGGCAACAAGCCTTTGAAGAACGAAAAAATTGCCATTTTTTCTGATGAACTAAACCATGCATCAATAATTGATGGTATTCATCTTGCTGAAAGACAAAGAACTGTAGAATTCTTTGTATATAAACACTGTGACATGTCCCATCTCAGCACACTGTTGTAGGTTTTTACTTTTCACTTAGATTCTCTGATGATCATTCTCTTTCTGAGACTTTCTCTAGCCATGCTACATAATGGCAACATTTTCAAATTTTGACAGATTGAGTTGCAGAATGAAGAAAAAGGTTGTTGTGACTGATAGGTTAGTCATGTTATTACATTTGCTTGTTACAATGCCATTTCTTTATCCTATAAAAATATAAATAATTAAACAAACTTTCTTCCATGTTTTCATGCTTATTTGGATGTCCAAGAAGATGGACTTTCATGATTGGCACTCTGTATATGCATATAACTGTACCTTGTATGTTTTGCATCTTATCAACCAAGTATGTATTGTTATAGTACGTATTGTTGAATATAATAGATTTTGGCAAATGTGTTTAGTTATGAAGGAGGTATTATCTACCATATATTGCAACTTACCATTCATGTCTTATGACTGAGTGGCCGAAAACCGATTTCTTTATCTGTTTGTTTAATAGGTATTATTTATTCTTTTTTCTCTTCTACAGCTTGTTTAGCATGGATGGAGACTTTGCACCTATGGTGGAGCTTGTTAAGCTACGCAAGATGCATAACTTCTTGTTAGTTGTCGATGATGTAAGTTTACGTTGGCAGTTTTAGAACTGCAAGAAGATATTAGATGTCTATTTTATAGATAACCTTGTGTAGGATTTAGTTTAGCCTTCAATCTATTAAAATTTTATACTTTTGGGCTGCTCAATCCACATAATTTGTTCTAGGTAAAAGAAAGATCTAATTTAAGACAACGAACTTAATTTTATTGATGTATTCTGCAGTTATTCTCAGTCATTAGCTAAACAGCCTAGCCTAGACTTTCACTGAGCTTGTTCATGGTATAGAGAAGATAGCTTGTTTCTCTTCACATGATTTATCTCTAGCATATGCCATCAATAACTAAAAAGTGCTGCTCCTATTCTTTTCAGGCACATGGAACATTTGTTTGTGGCAAGAGTGGCGGAGGAGTGGCAGAGGAATTTGATTGTGAAAGAGATGTTGATATTTGCATTGGAACTTTGAGCAAGGCGGCAGGTTGTCAAGGTGGATTCATTGCCTGCAGGTAATTTATTGTTTTATGTAGTTTTCTAAGGTGTAGAAAAATAGGAAAAAGGTGATAGAACAGCATCTGAAAAAAGATAATAGACAACTAAACTATTATTGTCGCATTTACCCCCCTCCCTTTTTTTTCCGGGCATATGAACTTTAGCCTTTCATTGTTGTATGTAGTTGTAGCACTTATTCACAAAATGTTGTTAAATGAGTTTGTCTTTTTTACTGAGCGTAGCACAGTTATTCTTTATTGTAAAAGCAATAAGAGAACAGAAATATAGATGTTGGATCATTACCTGTGAAGTAGTTACAACTGTGATTTGTTCCAATGGTATGCACTATTTTCAAGTTCTAGCACTTGAAATCCCATGTTAAGGCCCTTGTTGAGTTAAAATAATCTAGACATGCGATGCATCTATAAATTTATCCTGTATGGGTCTGTCCTGTTTATAATCATTTAATATCCCATCTATATGTGTGCAGAACTATAATATGATAAATAGAAGAACATGCTCCTTTAAAAGGAGAATCTTTGTCCATTGAGATTCCTCAATTCTAATGTAAAATTTATATTTTGTTCTTTTTTCTGGGGAAAAATACTTTCAAGTTACACCCTGACGTAATTCAAATTTATATAAAAATGTTCTTCATGTTTCCCCTTAAGATATGTGAGTTCACAATGTGTTTTGACGTCTGTGTTCAGGCTCCTTCACATCTCTCTAATAAATAATAACTCACCAAAAGACCTGTGTAGTGTAGGGAGTATCCTGAATTGAATATTTTGTGTCCTTTTGTGTGAATATATCATATTTAATCACACCAGTCTGACTACCATGTGATCAGCAAAAGGTGGAAGCAACTTATCCAATCAAGGGGTCGTTCTTTCATATTTTCTACTGCAACACCAGTTCCTGTAGCTGCTGCTGCACATGGTAAAGTTCAGCATCATTTCAATGAGACATATGTTCTTTTTTGTTATTGTTTTTTTCTTGGTGCTTGAAAATTCTGAAAAAAACAGACGCATTCTTCTTTGTTCTGTTAATTATTATTACTAATAGGATTTATCTCTGTTGAAGTAATGATCCCTATAGGATGTAGTATAACTACTAGGAATAAAAGGGAGGGAGGATGGGGTGGGAAAGCATGGTTTGCTTATTTGTATGATTGTTGACTGTTGGAGTGACGCTCCTAGAATGTAAGATTAAGTGATAATATAATGTACAGATTAAGTGATCATATAATGTACAATGTCAAAGTGATTCTCTTTTTGCATTATGGGCAGATGTAATTGTAGCTTTTTCCTTTTTGCTAACAACATGAATACAACTTATCAGCTGCTGTTATTGTGGCAAAAAGAGAGATGTGGCGCAGAAGAGCACTTTGGAACCGGGTGCAGGATTTTCAAGCTCTGACTGGAATCCCTATCTCCAGTCCAATTATATCTCTTATTGTAGGAAGCGAAGACAAAGCCCTGAAAGCTAGCAGGTTTCATCTCTCTTGCCCCCCTCCTTCTCCCTGTGTGGCTGTGAGTGACTAATCATTTCTACAATAGCTTCTAACTTTTCCATCTTTCATGGGAACAGGCAATTGCTGAAATCTGGTTTCCACGTGACTGCAATCAGACCACCAACAGTGCCCCCTAACTCTTGCAGGTTTGTTGAAATCATTTATTATCGTACATCTTGTTGGTTTTAGTTGTGTGGAAACTTTCTTGGTAAAATTGCTGCTAGTCTACTTTGGACACTTCTGGTTTAACCTTTTGTGAAGTGGGGGCATCTAGTATAAAATGTCAAACCTTTGGTGGAAATCATTGTGGATGTTCTGAATCAAACCTGGATCATGGAATAGGTTGCTAGTGATTTGATTTGCAATTACTTTCAAATATACTTCACTCCGAAGATAGAAAGCATGGCCTATACACCATGCCTTTTGTTTTTCTTGTTTCCAATTTGGATGCACATTCCTATTGTTTTAAATTAATTCCTACATTCTTTAACCTAAATAATCCTTTCGTACATATATCGTTGAACTAAGTGTTAGCAGTAAGGTAGTCTGAAGTTGTTCCTGGAGAAGTGAATATTATTAATCCGCCAATAAATTCTGTCTGACTAATCATGTGCCAACAACATGGAGAATAATAAAATTAATTACCATGTTCATTTCAATGTGGACTCAGATGTCTTTTCATTTCTACCTTTGTTTAGGTTGCGAATTGCTCTGAGTGCTGCACACACAACTGATGATTTGAAGAAGCTCACAGCTGCACTCTCCAGTTGCATTAACTTTCAAGATATTAAGAATAATGGCCTCAACATGTATTCCAAGCTGTAGGATCTGATTATTTTGAAGGATGGCAAATGTTTAACATGTGTCTCTATTTAAGAGAACAAATGTGTTATAACGCTTATCGATAAGGCCATTCATCTTCTAGCTAGGTGCACAATCACATTCATGAAGACAAATTGATTGCAAATTACAATTGAATTTGACGGGGAAAGTTTGTTTGTATCTTGGCATTGCCATATCTATGTTATGTTCATTATTGAGGTAGTGTCAAGAGATCTATTCTGTAGACTGTGAAGCTTATTACTAAATTACTCCGATTTACTGATTTTTCCCATAATATAATGTTGCCATTATCCCTAAAAGAAAGGAAGAGTAAGGGTAAATGTCCTTGTCCTTCAAACTCATTCTTACTCTGTCCCTGGCAGCATCGAATTATGGACTGGAGACTTGAAATAACGTAGTGTATGTATATATGTATGTCAACAAAGGCAAGAGTAAGGATAAATATCCTCGTCCTTTAAACTCGCTCTTACTCTGTCCCTGGCAGCATTAAATTATGGACTGGAGACTTGAAATAACGTAGTATATATATTTATATGTATATCAACAAAGGCTGCACATTAATCGCCTGTTATCTCGTACTTGTATCTTTATGCTACATAGATATAAGAGGGGACTAAAATACATGGTACCAAAAAAGATTCACCAACTCTTGGGTACAAGTTGAAACCATAGTTCCCCAAATTCCAGAATATTTTTTTAGGATGAAAAATGAAATTTTATAAAATTTATTTTATATGATAAATTGATATTAGTACTATTCTTCTAGACTCTCCTAGGATTATTGCCCATGGAAGAGTTAGGGGTGCACAGAGCCAACCACGTTCCTGCTCCCACCTTCACGCGATGAGAAGAGAGTGACGAGTGTACCCTTAGATGCTGGCGATTGCCCCTGTCCCATTGGCTCATTTCATTCTCTTTCCTTGCGGTTATCATCTGTACAATTCACGAAAGTCAGGGTTGAGATAAACCAAATAAACTAATGAAACGGATGTTTGTTGCGGGAACATACTCGTGGCATGGAAGTAGAGGTTGTCATATGATTTCTTCTCTGGTAGTTGAGTGAACAGGGTGAGGTGTGACTTTGACTTTGAAGGCTACAAAATCCATGGTCGTGGGGGTTTCCAGGAACCTCATTGAGGTTGATGAGAGGAGTTCTGGTGGTGGTAGTAGATGTGTTGGAGGTGATGCTATTGTTTGCATATTGGGCGATGGTGGCCTCCAGAGGCAGAGGAGGAAGGTGTCTGCTAACAGAAGTGGCTGTGAAATTGACAGCAACAGTACTTCGCTTCTCCGCCAGTGGTTTGACTGTGGAAATTGGCTGGGGCCTGTGTTCTTGAGGGCTGGGGACGAGGCGGGGCGCTGTGGTAGTGGAAGAGCAGACACAGGGAGGAGTGGGGATCGCAAATAGGTTATCAATCGGGACAACATCCTGACGGAACAAGCCCATGTTTGGCCAGAGGAAGGTCCCTTGTGGCTTGCATATCCTGAACCCACTCTTCATGCTTTCAATTTTTGCCGCCTTGTCCTCTGTTATCGCCAATGCGTTTCTTCTTTTTCTTGGAAGTGCTGGATTCTTTCCTTCTGCACTACTATCTTTTTCTTCTTTATCTGATATTACCGCTGCAGTTTTGTTACTTTTCTCCGTTTCTTTTGCCTCTCTATCAGCGCCTAATGGCGGTGTTGTTGATCCCATTATTAGTTGTGGAACTTCCACTATAGATTTTAGCTTCCCCATCTCTTCCTGCATGATTCATTCATGTCATGTCATCATCAGATACTGCAAAAAGCTTTTTCAAGTTGCAGCTTATAGACTTCAATTAGGGGGAACTGAGTGACTCCTGATGAATACCTCCAGTCCACATAAAGATTGTGCAATTTCCGCAAGCTTTCCCTCAAGTTTAGCTTTCATATTCATCAAGTTCACGTACTGTTCCTGTGCAACAATCCAAGAAATTTTCTAAGAAAAGAGCATATGTGGTGGCAAACAAAATAAGTCAAGTTTTAACATCTACCTTCAATGAATTTAACATAGTAGTATCAAGAGCCAAGTTTTGGCTTGCAACAGAAAATTTTGGGGTGCTGACAAGAGCTAGATCTTCTTCAGTCTTCCTGGTCTCCGGCATGCCCCTTTTTAGACATTAAAAAATGAAAACAATTCGTATTTCGAATCATATACCACATATAAAGACCAATACCAGCAGAGAATAAGTCACTTCCAAGGGAAAAGAATAAAAGGTCAATACTCTTTCAGTTTGGCTATTTCTTCCCTAAGCTCTTTGAGCTCTCTAGCACAAACAGGATTCTGGACGGGGTTATCACCAAGCTTCCAACCTGGAGGTGGAGTCCAATAAGGATCCTGCACCCCAGCCTCCTTCCTGATGTCCATTAAATCAGCACTCTCCAACCAATACTCCATTGCCCCATCGGCATTATGCCGCCTCATGAATCTTTCTTCTCCTCCAGGAGCCACTTTCCCAGCCATGTGCTTCAGCAAATGATCCAACAAACCAGTGTCCCCAATCAGCTTCCTAGCCTCTACTCTCAATGCTGGCCTGAGTATTGGTTTCCGAAACACTGCTCCCTTCTCCTTCATAATCTTCAACATGTTTTCCGCAGCTAAATTATACCTTTATAACATTCATTAATCAATCTCGGAAACCAGCTTTATAAAAAATTAATACAACAAGCTATACGAAATAAATGAACACTAAATAAATAGCTATAGCTCACCTCTGAAAAGACCATCTTTCAATGGAATTCTTGACTTCTCTTCTCTTACTTGGCTTGTAACGAGTAATTTGTTGGTTCTGCGTTTCATGTTTTAGTTTCTTTGGCATTTGGGTTTTGTAGCTTGCTCCATGGACCTTCCTCTTACAGCTCTTCCTATCTGTCTCCTTGTTCTCTTCATCACTCACCATTATTTCTTTCTCGTCCCCTTCATCATCTTCTTCATCGTCTTCATTTCCTTTCTCTTCCTCTTCCCCGTTTACAGTTCTTGGCAAACTCCGTTCCCGCCTCTCCTCCACCTGGGGACCCAAGAACCGAACTTGCTTACGCCGACCCCACTGGACCATCCCTGTAGACTTCAACTCGGACAAGCACAAGCCTTTCGTAGAGACCGCGTTGACGTATCTGGTAACGGTAGCTGGGCTTAGGCTCGGGTTCTTCCCTCTTTCCTGTTCCTTCGAAGAAACTACTATCCAAAAGTTCCATTGATTCCTTTGCACTGCAATTTCATGTGGTGGGATCCTACGATATAAAACATCTCCAGCAAGCTCCGATCCCATTGCGCAATGTTCATCGAGTGAAGGTAACATCTTTGCCAGTTTCCTATAATTCCTCTCGCTGAAGTGAGCATGGAGAGAATACACGCTTGGATACCTTAATGACACGCTGGACTTAGACTTTTTGTTCACCTGGCAAACAACAACAATACAACCAATCGTTAGAACACCAGTTACTAGTTTACAGGATTGAAAAAGTAAACTGAAAACAAATGCATTTCTTTCTTTTTTATTTTTATTTCATTGGGGGAGGACTTGGTAGTTGGTACCATGATAACTCGAACTAACTTGAGTTGGTCTGGGGCGTTAGTGGGAAGCTTGGAGTGATCAATTTCGTAATAAGAGCCAACTCTAATATGAGCTGTAGCATCTGTACCAAAAAAACAAAACCAAGATCAGGCATGCGAGAGACACTGAAGAAGGGACTATCAAATGTGAATTTGAAGTAAAAAGGAGGGCATAAATGCATATGATTGTGTTTACCAAGGGTAGAATCGGGTGAAGAAGGCAGCAGTAGTTGTCTGCCCAAACAAAGCCTCATTGCGGCGCCCTCGGAGAGCTGTCCTTCTTGCCTTTTCAAGTACATGGTCTCCTGCCATTCAAAACAAGACCCATGTCACAACTTTTTCTCTGAACATCATAGTGAAAATACGATCTGGGTATTAGTTTTTGTACGTGAGCTTTTTTTTTTTCATTTTCTGTTCTTTATTATTATTTTTTTTGGATAATTCATTTTCTGTTCTTTAGCTACGACATGATAATCTGAATTAAAACCAGAAAAAAAATGGAAAAACAATAGAGGTAAGCTAGTGTAAACGCGCGCTTTTTGTGCGCGCGTGGGAGACAAAGGATTTGCATGTTCGGGCAAAGTGGAAACGTCCCTTTTGGTACATGACGCGTGCAGTTGGCGGTATGAAGGAGGGTGCGTGAGCATGGGTGGAGCGAAGAGAGAATCAACAAAATCAGAGAATAACAGAAATCGGAGGAGAAAGCGTGCAATGAAATGAGAGAGAGAGAGGAGAGAGAGAGAGAGAGAGAGAGAGCTTACAGTGAGATTTGAAGCAGCTGCGGCTCCACCATCAAGTTTATGCCAACTTTTCTCCATTGATTTGCAATGCGTTCAGGTCTACAAATTACAAAAACAAAATAACGTTAACTTGCTTTAACTGCATATATATAAAACATGAACAAAAAAATTGTAAAAAAATTGTTGGATCAAATCAAAATGCTTTGAGAGACATTGAATAATAAAGATGCTTGCATGGGGGAGTGAGTTAGGGTTTCCGAGAAAGACTGAAAATGTAAGAATGTAGTTATATTCTAAATATTGCAAAGAAATTAATATTAGCAAAATTTAGAGATTTAAAACAAAACAAAACAAAAAAAAGCTTGAGAAATACTTAAATGAGACAATTAAGCTTTGACCAATGGACACCGATCAAAGCTCAAAACAAGGAAAGCAAAAAGAAAAAAAAATTGTACTACAAGAGTTAAAATTTGGGATGCATTTTTTTTCTTTCAAGTTCATGATCTGAAGAAAAAAAATGAAAAGATCTATAAAATATATATATATATATATATATATATCAAACAAGAGAGAATGGTGTACAAAAATCTCTAGTTACTAAATTTTCTTTATCATATATTTGTTTTCGCAGGGTTTTCTTGTGAACCAAGCAGCAAAACAAACTAACAAATCAAATTGGAAAAACATATATGTAGATGATGTACCTTGGATATTAGATTATAAAGTCAGGCGAGATGGTTTTTTGGGATGCTAGTTATTCTGAGCTTGAAAGCTAGTATATGAGATTTGGAAACAATAAAAAAGAGAAACAATTGAAACGATCGAGAGAGGAGAGAAATGAAGAAATGATGAAAGCAGAGAATATATGTAGGAGAGAGTGAGTGAAGGGAATTTTTTCTGTTAGTAGTGGAAGGAAGCGAAGTAGCAAACAATGCGTTAACTCAGCAGCGTTTGAGAATTGAGAGAAAAAAAACTGGTAATTTGAATTTTCTGTTAGTAGTGGCGAAGGAAGCCAAGATGCAAGCAGTGCATTAATGCAGCGTTTGAGAATTGAGAGAGAAAATGCTTATTTATATTTATATTTATTTATCTTATTGAAATGAAATCTAAAGACAAAGGCTTATATAGATATATTGATAATTAAAAATTATTTTTTTGAGTAAATTAATTATAAATTTGATAATTTTAATATTGGTCTAAATTTGAATTGTTTGAGATTTAAATTCTTTCTAATCAATTTTTGGCCTTGAGTTTATTTTGTCAACCTTACAAATCACTAATTTTAAATATATCAATTTTATTTGTAATTGACGGATAACTTAATTTTTTATTTGAATGAAAATAAAAATATATATATATATTAAAATTTTATTTGTAATTGACCTTGGCTGGCCCTGTTGATGGAGTTTGAGAGCAGAGGATAGGAAGGAGACAAAAAAAAAATGAAACTCTAACCTAATAAATAATAAATTTATATTTTTTTAAATATAAATAAATATATATATAAAGTATGTACAAGGCAACTATTATATTATTCATCTCTAAATTTATATTGGATAGATATTTCAAAATTATATTTATTTTTGTTTCCATTATCAAATTTTGATATTCATATTTGGATAAAAAAGTTAAATTTTTTTGTTGAAATGTGAATAAAATTAACATCTCTATCTTAGGCAGAGGCTAGAGCTAGAGTAAGATTTAGAAACCAAATATTGCAGTGAATAAGTTCCTACATCTTAATGTAACATGTAAGATCAAAGTACTTAGGAATGGAGATACTTCTAATTGCACTTTATTGTCGACGAAAAGCCTAGTACTTTACAAGGCTTATAAAGTGGACCAATGGTGATCTTGGGCCCACTGCCTTAGGTTTATCATCCGGAATCTACTAATTTCCATAATGAAAATTGGAGATTTTTCTATTCAAAACTCAAAACCATTCGGTGTCACCATTTCAATGTGCTGGATTGTTCACGTTCTCACTCAGGTACTTGGCTCTTTTGATCTTCCTTATTGAAATCAAAACCTGGAGCACATGTTTATATTTACATTAATTCGCCGTTGAAAAACTCCACCAATCTGATTATTTGCAGTAAGAAACTCAGAGGAAAAGTCAGAAAATGGAAAACGTTTTAATTGTAACGTACTGTTCCAATCAATTGTCCAGTAGGAGAAATGATGTTGATTGATCTTTCACTGCAGAGAAGGCAACCTTTTCAGTAGAAATAAACAAAAGCCCTACAATAGGACCAGCTGTCGTTGACAGATAGCATTGGGAAGCCTTTAGCAGCTCCTCCGGTCCTCTCCTTCCATAACAAATATTTGTTTGAAAACATTGTCCCTTTCGCCTTCTTGAATTATTTTTGCCCCCAAACTCAACTTTCCTTTCACTGTTTCAAACAACTTCGGCCCCATATTCACTGTATCAATCTCAAACATCAGCCCAATCTCAATTATACTTATAGCAGAAAAGCTATTCACTCATATAAAGAAGAGGGTTGGTTACCAACTCACCATGGTCACTGATCCTGGATGCAAAGTTGCTGCTTTTCTTTCTCAACTTCTCGGTATAGCCCGTCTTGTGATCATCTTCTCCAGCTTATCACATGTAGTTCAACCTTTTAGGTTAAGCAGGAAGGAAAGCATTTACAAAAGATCAGTTTTTAGTGCTTACGGGATTTGAAGGAGGAAGAGGCATCTGAAGAGGAGGGACTTTGGGTTAAGCTGAGAGGGTTTAGACAGAAAAAAATGGATCCCACCTGTAAATTTGGGTTGGTTTGATTTAGTTTTGTATTGTTCTTTTTTATACTCATGACCCATTTATTATCATTCCTTTGAGGAGGGTTCAGCCCATTCACCCTAACTCGGAAAGAACAATTGGGCTAGATTTTTTAATCCTCGCTCGAGTTTGAACGTACAAGCCCTCATTTTCATCTTGCAAATGTTCGGATTTGGAGGTTTGAAACTTTGAACGATCGTTAAATGAAAAAGAAAAAAAAAACATAAATTGCAGAAAGTATTCACATTTCAATGAAATGAGACAATTTTCAAATCTGGTTTTTTAGTTTTCACTTTTCACTTGATATTCCAAGATTTTAAAAGCAATAAATCCAGGTAAAAAAATTTAGCACCAAGAGCATCATTGGCTTGATCAATGATCATTTCAAAAGGTACAACTGCTTCTGGTTAACACCAAGAACATATATATTCTCTCATATTTACATTTCTTTGATGTAATTGTAACCGTGACTTTTGCAAAGGAGAGTTATAAAAATGAGTGTCATCCAATAATTCAGGGATTCTGCCTGGACAGGACCGAAAGGTTCTCTTTGTCTTGTCCGTTTACCAAGCAAGTTAAGTTTGTCAGTTTGGGCCCGATTTCGTAATATATAGTAGTATTTTTCGTGCAATGACAGTGAAGCACCCATATGACTCCAAAGTTTCAACTGCTAGTTGAATGTTCAAACCCACGTGCTCTTAACAAAAATACAAATAACAAGTGATTGATGGTACAGTTTTTTCTTTTTCTTTTTCTTCTGTTGAAAGCAACAAATCATTGAGATCTTGAAGTCAAGGAAATACTGCTGTAATCAAATCCTTACATTCCATGCTTGAAACTCTACTCTTCTCTTTCCGAGCATAGCTGTGTTAGGAAATGGCGGTTGCTTTGGCAATAACAGGTGCAGATGGGCAATACAACGGTAGGATGACCTTGTTCGTTGTTCTGTCATGTATGATGGCAGCCATGGGAGGAGTCATCTTTGGCTATGATATTGGAATTTCAGGTTTGTCTCCAAAAAGTTATTTGTATAATATATCTTTCTCCTTTGCGTTGACAATTTATGGCTAAATTATTAATCTAGTTTTGAGCAGAAATCTTTTATATTTCTACCTTTTTCCAATTAATATGGCATCTTACATGCCTATGAAATATGATAATCAGCATGAACATTAAAGTCAGTGTGAAAGCTCTCTATCTACTGTCTGTTGGATGCTTAATTGCAATATTTATTTATCTAAACATTAAATCCCTGTCAGACCATCCTTGGCGAAGCAGCAACATTTTGCAGGAACCAAGCTTGAACTTTAATAGTGTCAACCAATTATTTTGCTATAGAAGTAAAGCCTAAGGGGCTTTGCCAAACTTCCAATTATGAATTTTTTCCTCTATATTGCTTGGATGTAGACTAACCAAGCTGGCTTCAAGATGAGAACTGCAAAAGACTTTTCCTTATTTTTGAAAGTCTGAACACTCTAAACCATGGAATCCCAATCACAACCTGTATTCTGCAATTCAGATGCTGAAGAATTCTTTCCCAAATTTCTTTGGATTATGGTCAAGAAAAGAAAAGATGATCACTAGTTTATAACCACTATAATAATGGAATGTAGAAAGGACAGACGTGCTAGTAATCGGAACACCACAACTTTTTAATCTGTTGGAAATCACCATCCAAGCAATAAAAGAATGTCCTGTACAATGATGCTGAAACCATGTTAGTCTTTGCCCTTCCAGCTTCTCTTGCCATTAAGTGAAATGGGTTTTAGCAGTTAACAAACATTCAATGTCCTAATTATGCCACCATATCTGCTTAGTCAGTTCCACAAGATCACAAAGCCCATATGCGTATCTCTCTGTTATCACATGGTGAGCAGATGGCTCTAATCCTACAAGTTAAATCATGTTTATTGTCTATTGACAACAATCAGCAGTTTAAAAATGGGCTTATTTTAAAGGCATCTGAATAATGAAAGAACTAAAAGTGGTGGTCCAATCCTAAAATTTTAAAAGTAGAAGGAAAATAACCAGAAGAGAAAAAGGTTCCTGTAAAAATTTCTATGTCATGAGCATTTCTTTTTGGATAATCAATTTCCAAGATATCTTCAGCCATCCAAATCTAGATTGAAGCCAACAGGAGGAGCCAACTAATATAGCAGACAATTATTTTTTCATGCAGGAGTATAAAAATAAATCCAATTATATTCTGTCTGAACACATGAGAAGTGAACTGATTGTATTAATTTATTGGCTCAATTTGTCCAAACAAGAAGTCAACTACATGCCATAGAACCTTGATGTTTTTTCTTGTTAGTAGTTCTTCAGAAAGTTCCAATGATCTCATTAACTATGTGAAGGTGGAGTGACATCTATGGAGCCATTCCTCAAGAAGTTCTTCCCGGACGTATACAGAAAGATGAAGGAAGACAGCAAAATCAGCAACTACTGCAAATTTGATAGCCAACTGTTAACCTCATTTACATCTTCACTATATGTAGCCGGGCTTGTTGCTACTTTCTTCGCCTCATCAGTTACAAAAGCTTTTGGTCGCAAGCCATCAATCCTGGTAGGAGGTGCTGCATTCCTTGCTGGTTCAGCCCTTGGTGGTGCAGCTTTCAATGTCTACATGCTGATATTTGGTCGTATCTTGCTTGGAATAGGGGTTGGATTTGCAAATCAGGTATATGCTTTAACAATTCCGTTAGAAAATTGATCCAATTCTTCTGCACAATACGATTCATTAATATGATTCTCCAATTTTTAATTTATCCTGCAGTCAGTCCCTCTGTATCTCTCAGAAATGGCACCACCTAAATACAGGGGAGCAATCAACAATGGCTTCCAGTTCAGTATTGGCATAGGAGCATTGGTAGCTAACCTTATTAATTTTGGCACGGAAAAGATAGAAGGTGGTTGGGGCTGGCGTATTTCCCTAGCCATGGCAGCAGTTCCAGCCTCAATCCTGACAGTAGGTGCACTTTTCCTCCCGGAGACACCCAGCAGCCTAATCCAGAATAGCAGTGATCACGGCAAGGCCAAAGTTTTGCTGCAACGAATACGAGGCACCGGGGATGTCCAAGCAGAACTCGATGATCTCATCAAAGCAAGCATAGTCTCTAAAACCATCAACCATCCATTGAAGAAAATCATACAAAGAAATTATAGGCCTCAAATAACAATGGCAATAGCCATACCATTTTTCCAACAAGTGACAGGCATCAATGTCATTGCATTTTATGCTCCAATTCTATTCAGGACAATTGGAATAGGTGAAAGCGCTTCCCTCTTGTCCTCTGTGGTAACCGGAGTTATAGGAGCCGGATCTACATTCATATCAATGCTTGTTGTAGATAAATTCGGGCGAAGAACTTTATTCATGGTTGGGGGAATCCAAATGTTTGTCTCACAGATGCTTGTCGGAGGACTCATGGCAACTCAGCTAGGGGATCATGGTACAGTGAGCAAAGGGTGTGCTTATTCAGTTATAGTCTTGATATGTATATATGTAGCTGGGTTTGGATGGTCTTGGGGTCCATTGGGATGGTTGGTTCCAAGTGAGATATATCAGCTAGAGATTCGATCAGCCGGGCAAAGTATTACAGTGGCAGTAAGCTTTGTGTTCACTTTCATTGTTGCGCAAACTTTTCTAAGCATGCTTTGCCACTTCAAGGCAGGGATTTTCTTCTTTTTTGGAGGATGGGTGCTCGTGATGACAGCATTTGTGTACTTCTTGTTGCCAGAGACTAAGAATGTGCCGATTGAACAGATGGAAAAAGTGTGGAAGGAGCATTGGTTTTGGAAAAGAATTGTTGGGGAACAGAATGAGAATATCAAAATTCAAGGTGTATGAGATTTGATTTTAACTGAGATTTTCAATCTAATTTTTCTTGCAAGAAGAAGAACATAGAAAACAAGTTTGATTACCAATTCAAGAACTGGAGACAACTTTCTAATTCAAATCTTAAAAACAATCAATGTTTAAATTCTCAGGTTTTAAGATCCCAGAACTTTGGATTTGGTTTGACAATTGAATTATAGGTCAGACCACAGAGCATCTTAACGAAAAGAAAATTTTATTGTTAATTTATTGTAAACCAAAAAAAAAAATGGTTGGTCCCCTTCCGGACTATAACCTGTTCTTATTATGGTCATTTAGGTTTTTCTGTTTTTTATACTTGCAAGTTAAGTTCATCAACATAGTCCTTTTAATTAATGGATCAGGCAATGTTTTCTTTTTCTTTTTTAATAGTTGAAGTTGTCGGAGTTTGAATCATGATCACGAGTTTCAGTATTCTACCAACAATTCAAGTGGCTATTGGCAGATTTTGGCATTGTTTTGTAGGCAACAAACTTGTTGGTTTGTATAAAACGCGGAACTCAATGCGTTATAAAGAGGGAAACTAAATCCATGAATTTCTATATATATATGTTTACCTGACAATAGATAAGTAATATTCGGTAATAGCTTGAATGTAATGGTTAAACGTTCATGGTGGTTCTCGTCAAAACGAAAAAAGGTTCATGGTTGTTAAAATTTTTGGATAACTCTTGAAAGATAAATCTTGTATTTGTGCGTGCAAAGCAAAGGCCAAAGACTCCAAGTGCGACCTTTCAACCTAAACATACAAAATTCAAAGTAAACGATTTAGTTCAAGAGATACTGTGTCTGTCTCTTTCTAATTAGCTATCTCGCTGCACTCTACTTATACTAGTCAAGGAAGGCTGCTCATTTTAAGCCTTCCATTGTCTACAATCTTAAATATAAACAATCTCTATCAGATCTGTTCGTGAGTGAGCTTGCTGGATTGAGCTATGGCGGTTGGGTTAGCTTTAACAACTGAAGGTGGGCAATACAATGGCAGGATGACTTTGCTTGTTGTCCTGTCATGTATGATGGCTGCCACAGGAGGAATTATCTTTGGTTATGATCTTGGAATTTCAGGTTATATACTTTCTTTTTTCTATCTAATTATCAATATAAAATATGTTTTCTTTCTTGTAGTATCAATCTTACCAATCATAAACTTGTAATCAATTTTGATTCAAGCATGGAAAAATGATTATCTTTAGCAAAAATAAAGGCAATATATGAATTTTAAGGCCAATAAAACTTAAGAGTTTGAAAAATAAATTGATACTTCAGCTACAGAAAATTCAAGTTATCTCATCAAGTAATTATGTAATTGTAAAGGTGGAGTGACCTCTATGGAGTCATTTCTCAAGAAGTTCTTTCCAAAAGTTTACACAAAGATGAAGGAAGACACCAAGATTAGCAATTACTGCAAATTTGACAGCCAACTGTTGACTTCATTTACATCTTCACTCTACATAGCTGGCCTTATTTCTTCTTTCTTTGCATCACCTGTGACCCGTGCCTTTGGACGCAAGCCATCGATCCTTATAGGAGGGGCGGCCTTCCTTGCTGGTTCAGCCCTTGGTGGTGCAGCTTTTAACGTGTACATGTTGATATTCGGTCGTGTCTTGCTTGGTGTTGGGGTAGGATTTGCTAATCAGGTATGCACAATAAATTCTCTTCAGATTCATCTCCCTCATTTCTTGTGAGAAATCTTATGCTTAATTTTGGGACCTAATTGTTTATGCCCTAATGCACTTGCTTTACAGTCAGTCCCATTATATATTTCTGAGATGGCACTTCCCAGACACAGAGGAGCAATGAACATAGGCTTCCAATGTGGTGTTGGCATTGGAGTACTTTCAGCTAACGTTATAAATTTTGGCACTCAAAAGATCGAAGGTGGATGGGGTTGGCGTATCTCCCTGGCATTGGCAGCATTACCTGCATCAATCCTGACAATAGGAGCACTTCTTCTCCCTGAAACACCCAACAGCTTAATCCAGAACAGCAATAATCACCAAAAGGCCAAAAGCGTGCTGCAACGTATACGAGGTACCACTGATGTCCAAGCAGAACTGGATGATCTCATCAAAGCAAGCTCAATTTCGAAAACAATCAACCACCCATTTCAGAAAATTATACAAAGAAAATATAGGCCTCAATTGGTAATGGCAATAGCTATACCATTTTTCCAACAAGTGACAGGCATAAATGTTATTACATTTTATGCTCCAATATTATTCAGGACAATTGGCCAAAGTGAAAGTGCTTCACTCTTGTCTTCGGTCGTGAGTTCTGGCCTTGTTGGCACTACTGCTTCTTTCATATCAATGCTTGTAGTCGATAAGCTTGGCCGAAAGGCCTTGTTTATGATTGGGGGAATTCAAATGTTTGTGACACAAATAACTATTGGAGGAATTATGGCTGCTTTGCTAGGGGATCATGGTGGAGTAAGCGAAGGGTGTGCTTACTTAGTTTTAGCTTTAATTTGTGTATATGTTGCTGGTTTTGCATGGTCATGGGGTCCATTGGGATGGTTAGTTCCCAGTGAGATTTTTCCACTGGAGATCAGATCAGCAGGGCAAAGTATTACAGTGGCGGTGGGCTTTCTCTTCACTTTTCTTTTTGCACAAACTTTTCTAGCTATGCTCTGCCGTTTCAAGTCAGGGATTTTCTTCTTTTTCGGAGGATGGGTGGTGTTGATGACTGCATTTGTATACTTTTTCTTGCCAGAGACTAAGAATGTGCCAATTGAGCAAATGGAAAAACTGTGGAGGGAGCACTGGTTCTGGAAAAGAATTGTTGGAGAGGTAGATGAGAAGGCTTATACACAAGGGGCATGAAATGTTAAATTAGGTTGAAATTTTATCCTTATTATATATCTTTGTAATGAAGAAATAAGAATTAATTTCGTGAAATTCTTATGAAAAATGAAACTTTCTTGCTTTTCTAAAATAAATTTCTAGGACTCCTCTATAAAATCAATCCTGACACTAGGTGCAATTATTCTCCCAGACACACCAAACCGCTTAATTCAGAAAACCAATAGCCACAAAAAGACCAAACGTGTGCTTCAGCGTATAAGAGGCACCGGTGATCTCATCAAAGCAAGCTCAATCTCAAAAACAATCAACTACCCACTTAAGAAAATCATACAAAGAAAGTACAGGCCTCAACCGGTAATGGCATCAGCTGTACCATTTTCCCAACAAATGACAGGGATCAATGTCATAACACTCTACGCCTCCAATACTATTCAGGAAAATTGGCCTACATGAAATTTCTTCACTCTTGTCTGCAGTTGTGATTAGCGTTGTCAGTACTTCTTGTATATTCATATCTATATTTGCAGTGGGTCGACGAGTACCGTCTATGATTGGGGTAATGGCATCAGCCATACCATTTTCCCAACAAATAACCATCGGAGGGTTTATGACAGCTTTGTCAGGGGATCATGGTGGATTAAGCAAGGCGAGCGCTTGGTTTTAGTTTTGATACGTTCGATCAGCAGGGCAAAGTATAACAGTAGCAGTCAGCTTTTTCTTCTGTTTCCTAGTTGGACAAACTTTTTCCGGCTATGCTTTGCCACACGAAATCAGGGATTTTCTTCTTTTTTGGGGATGGGTGGCGGTGATGACTCCACATTTGTGTAGTAGTTGTTGGAAAAGAATTGTTGGAGATCAAGTGGATGACAGAGCTTACAAGTTAGCCATATCCAATATTGCTGGTACCAAGATCCAAGCTTAGGGTTAAAATTATGAAATAATAAGAAGGAATAGAGCGATTAAAGGCAAAGGGTACGAGTTTTTCTAATGTTTACACTCCGACTACGAGCAAGTCAGCAATCGATGTTAGAAGATATAGAAAGAAAAAAATATTGACAAGTCAGATATTGACATTAGAAGAAATAGGAAGGAGAAAACACTGAAAAAGCTAAAAAATATGAAATGTTTAGATAATAATTAAATAATTCTATTTATAGTTAAAGATGAGGATTTAGGAGCAGTTTAAATTGCTCACGATCAATTTTATTGTCAGAATGATTCGATAGACTAAATTAATTTGAATGCTGATATTTATTCAAAAAATAATAAATTACTATAAAAAATTTTTTTAGATAAGCTAATATAATGATCGAGTTGACATAATAATTGTATATGTTAAATAAAGTTGACATATTACATTGATTTAAAACTCATAAATGTTTTTAATTATTTTATAGCAATCTTTAATATAATAAAAAGATCATTTTAACTTTGAAAAAATGCCCCTAGCACGTATGAAATGAAACAAGGTTAATCCTGTTTTGCAAGAAAGGACATAGAATTAGTTTCTGTTTCATTATTTCATATGGCCAACCCCTTTTGCTATTCGGGTTCAGATGATTAGGCCAACAATACGTCATTAACAAGGTTTGAGGAAATAAGAATAGTGGACCATTGACTCTCATGGTGCGATAAGACTAGGATAATGTTATCTTCCATCCAATATGTCATCAGATAACTTGGAATCCAACATCCTCGTATTAAAAAAATTAATAATCAATTCTTGACTTTTATTCATAGTTCCACTACTTACAGTATTCCCTTATAATTCAAGATTTTGAAGTGTATTTAATATTGGAACATTTGATTTTTTTTTCTTGTAATCCTAATTTGCCAGGTGTCTTTGCTAGTTAATATAAAAATTTTTCATTATTAATGTATTTTAATAGGTTTTATTAAAAATTAATTTTATAATTTAATTAAAAATTTAATTTTATCTTAATTATCTAAATTTAAATTAATTGAAAGAAGGAAAGATAATTTTCATTAATTTACTAAAAAAATTGGTGAGACTTGTCAAGGAAAATTAAAAAATATATAACAAAAAAATTTTAATATTGAAGCCAATATTTGGTCATGGTGGTGTTCACGCGTGTGGGTTTCAATTTCGAATCAAAAGAACAAGCGGCAGCAGATGAGGCCTGTTATAATCATTGCGACCATCCGAAACATTCTCCGAGAAACTTCCCACGTGGCATTTTCTTATTAGTCGAAACAGTAAACTAAAACTCACTGACCAGTTGTATAACTTTTTAAAAATTGGCTGAAATCTTTAATTTAATTTTGAACTCTTACCTTTCACAACGGCGACATCTCTCGACTTTCGCCATCATCTCCCGCTTCAACTCGCAAAAACAAAAGCTTTTCTTTGATCATCGCTTCATTGAATCTACGCCAAAAGGTAATCCTTTTTCTTTTTGTTTTTTCCCTAATTAGGGCATTGCGCCGATCACTGAAAAAGATTATGTATCAATTCAGCTTTGATCATTTTCTCTTGTTTTTTTGGCAGTTATTTCGTTATTAAATAATTTCCCGTTTACGTTAATCGGAAGCGATGCCTTCAGCCATGTCGCAGCGGTGGCAAGAGAAGGCGAGTGGTTTCATTTCTTCGTCAGGTGCATTTTAATCTATCATTTCTTCATTATTTTCTTTTTTTTTTTTAATTTTTTCTGTTGTTGCCACAGCAGCAAGTTGTTTTTTTTTTTTTTTTTATGTTTTTATTGCAGGGGTGAAGCTAAAGGAAGCTAGCCAAACGGCTGGAACTTTTGTCGGAGAAGTTGCCAAGGATGCGAAAGGCAACGTGGCTGACATGGCGGAACGAGTTGGTTCCATGGTCAAAAGCCGTTGGGCGGTTCTCCGGCAGCCGGCGACAAGACATGTTGTTCAGGAGAGTTTTGTTTCGGCTGCTGCTACTACTGGAACATTTCTAAGGAAAGGCATCGGCGGGACAAAAGACAAGGTTGCTGTTGGTAAAACAAAAGTTGAAGAGGTAATTTTAGCTCTAAAAATTATTTAAATTAATTTTTTTTATAAATTTTCTTACTTGGTATATTATTTATCTTGTTCACTGTATTAAACTACGTTGTGAGAGAGGGGAGGATTCAAAACTTCGACGATTCCTCTTTTTGGTCTTTCATATAGTCGATCCCAGGGTTATGGGATATAAGGCTTAGTTTGTTGTCGTTGATGTTGTTGATGTTATTGTAAGAGACGAGAGTAGAGGCTGTCATGTAAATTTTGAGGTTTCCTCTTTCATGTGGGATAGCTGTGATGTAAAGATCTCCTTATTATGGTGTTATGCTATTGCTCTCTTCTTCCGTGATTGATCACTTATTTTAATTGAGATTGTTTGCTTTTCGACTGTCTCTTTCTGTCTGGCCTCACTTCCCGCTTTGTGGATTGCCTTTCGCTCTCTTCTTTGCTCTGATAGTTAGGCTGGTGTTCATATCAAAATTTATGTTGTGCTACAGAGATCTCCTTTTTGTAGCCTACGAAAGGGGTATATTTTGCTTTGTTTTGCAATTGGGCATTACTTCTGTAATTGCAAAACTTCAAGTAACTGATGAATTTTGGATTTTAGTGCTTTTCCGCGTTATTATGGTATTTGGTTGATGTTGTGTAGTTAAAAATGCAATCTATTGATGCTTAATACAAGTCATTAATAATAATTGTCATTTTTAATTGTGATAAACTAGGCTAGTCTAGGCTTCTACAGAAGGTATGGTCAAGAATGACATATATATGTATTGGTGAATCTGTTACAGGTGGCAAAAAAGACGGCACAGAAAAGCAAGACAATTTTGACAGATATAGAACGATGGCAGAAGGTATAGAATTGTGCGGTTGACTTTTATTTTTGTTGTTTGCTTTTATAACTTTTGTCTACTTACATGTACTTTCAAGCTTCTGAATTCTTATTATGTGTTTTTCATTTGCAGGGTGTGGCCAGCACTGATGGTAAGTTTCTTTATCTTGGCCAGTGTATTTTCCCAAATGTTGACTCCTTTTGGGATCCTTCTTATTTCCCTCTTTCTGACACCGTTGACACAGTTTAAGGTACAAGATTTTCTATGATTGTATCAAGTGATAAAATCTTTAATTTTTTAGATTCAGGTGTAGGAAACTGCTTTAAATTGGAATTCTTGTTTCTTATTTCCCTAGCACTTGTGCAGCTCTTAATCCCTACTCATCTTGGGAAAATGCTTCTGATTTCAGCTAGTTTAAGTTTTAAAATGCTTTAGTTTTATCATTTTTACAGATGTTTTAGTGCCAACGGTTTTTTTTCTATTGCATTCCTGTGCTCTCCTATTGTCTTAATTTTCGGTTCTTCTGTATGTCCAACATTTCACTTATTAGCATTTTCTGTGAAAATAACATTTGTTTTAAATTGGTTTCTGATTGACTTAGCCAACTACAGGGCAAAGGTTTTTGCATTTTTCTTGTCATACTTGCTTATTGACTGATATACTATGACATAGTGATGATTAAATTAATTACTCAAGTATTCTATGGATATTTCCGGCAATGCATAGTGTTAGCCACTTATCTTTTCTTTGTCCTCAGTATTTGGTGTTCCTATTGAGGTTACTGTGCAACGGCAGCAATCCAGCAGGCCCATTCCTCTTATATTGGTGAAATGTGCAGATTATCTAGTATTATCAGGTGAATCAGATGAAAAATTTTGGTACTTAATTAGCAAATGTTACTGCAATATACATTCTTTTCCAGAAGGTAACATTTTTTTTTATTTTTTATTTTTTACTTTTAGGCCTAAATTCTCAGTACTTGTTTAAAGCTGAAGGAGATAAAAGGTCATTCAGCAATTGGTTTCTACATACAACCAAGGTATCTTGCATGTTATCTTCTAATATTTGATCGGTAGTTATATCTTTTTGGGTTGCTTGACAATTTGTTGTCATATGTATATCACAGATTGCAATGCCTCTATACCAGAGGGGCTGAATCCAATTGATGTAGCTGCTCTAGCCAAATATTTCATTGCTAGTCTTCCTGAGCCATTGACTACCTTTGAGCTTTATAATGAGCTCAAATGTGCCCGTTCTAGCATACATGCTATAAGAAACGTATTAAAGAAGCTTCCTAGTGTAAACTACATGACTCTTGAGTTCATAACTGCATTGCTGCTTCGTGTTAGCCAGAAATCAGTCCTTAACAAGGTAGGAGTTACCTCTCTCACTGACTCATACATACATGCATCCCCTGTAAAATTTGATTGAGTGAGGTTGAACATAATTGTAAAAGCGTTGGGACAATTAATATGCAACATTACAGCTATGAAAAATAAGCCCATGCTAACAATTAGATATTAGGAAGAATGGTAACCTGCATGTGAAGCTAAGCTTCTCATAGCCACGAGAAAATGCCTTCAAACCATCTTCATACTTGTCAATTTCGTTTAATATTCTCTTGTATTGTGCATACCTATATTGGATAAAATATACAAGGTAATCAAATCTTACAAGGTATTCTAGATATAAAACAGTAAAGTAAAAATGAAATATAGAGAAAAATAAAAAATTGAACAAGGACAAAATAAGAACACTGTCTCAATAAAAGATGAAAAACAAATAATACAAGATTTATTATTTTTTATAGATTGATTCTACACTACACTCAAATTAATTTTGATCTATCCTTATTTTTTTATAGTACTTAAGATATTTTTATGAAACAAAAGTCAATATTGTTAAGAAACATTAATCTTAAAGAAGAGAAATTATTTGATATACTGTTGAGTTTTTTTTATCTCCACAAGTGGGTTAAAAAATTAACACATAGTTTTTTTTAATATACTTTAAAGCCTAAATGATATATATCACACTGCTAACTTCATTTGTGAAATTTAAAAACTATATTATCAATATATTTGATGATTTTTTCTTGTAAAAAATATAAGTTTATTTTTTTAATTAAGAATGCTCTAACATATTTTTGTGTTTGATAGTGAAAAATATTGATTAATTGTGTGCATCTTGTTGAATGATCAAATACAAGTCCTATTAAAAATACAAGTCTGGGAACAATGAACAACAGCGTGAAAGGAAGAGGTGCTAAGGTAA